GGCCAACATTTCTAAAGAATGCTTTCAGCACCTTGTTGAATCAATGCCACGTAGAATTAAGGCAGTTCTGAAGGCGAAAGGGCGTCAAACACCGTATTAGTATGGTGTTCCTAATAATCCTTTAGGTGAGTGTATATTGGCAAGTGGTCTCCCACCTGTCCCCTTTCTACCTCTGGCACCAGTCTTTCGTGCAGGTCTTCTAAAAACAGGAGAAGGTGGTCGGTGTTGTAGGGGCCAATCTGACATTTATGCAGGAGTGCACCGTTGTTGGAGATTGCGGCGCACATGGTGATGTTGGCTCTTCTCTGGCCCGGCACGGTAACTGTGGCCCTTTGGCCTATTATGTTTCTCCCACGGCTATGCCTTTTCGCCAAGTTGAAGCCAGCCTCGTCAACATAGATAATTTCATGTGGGACTTGATTGGCCTCCAACTCCATGACTCTCTGAAAGTAATTACACACAGTGTATGTAAATGCTGTGCTGTACTGTATATCTACTGTATGTACTAATGCACTCCAGGTTTATAGAGTAGTTTACTGCAAAACACACTGTGTATAGTACAGTAATGACTGTATTGCATAACCTTACCTGGACGTATTGGTGACGGAGTTCTTTGATGCGCTCACTGTTCCTTTCAAAAGGAACTTTGTATAGTTGTTTCATTCGGACTCTGTGTTTAGCTAGAGTCCGAGAAATGGATGTTATGCTGATTGCTGCAATGTTCCCAAAGACAAGGTTGTCCTCTACAACTCTGGAGTGAATGTCCTTCAGTTTTATTTCATTGTCAGCAATCACCATGTTGACAATAGCAAGTTCCTGTTCTTCATTCAAGAGCTTCCCTCTGCCCCCTGAGGGAGGTAGACGTTTAATCCTTAGAGGGACAAAATACAGTTAGAGACCGGAGGCATACAGTCACTCTAATACAGTAAATGGTAAAATTATTTACACTTTGCTGTAGGAGAAGCAATATCCTACCTGTTGGTTTCGCTGAAAATACGGATAATGGATGCCACTGTGTCTCGGCTGAGATTTGGCTGTACTCGTTCACCAGCCTCTCTGTATGATAGCCCGTGGTTTATGACATGGTCAATGATAGTAGCTCTTATTTGATCAGTTACCCTAGCTCTGGTCCTTCTTTGAGCGCCACCACGCATTCTAACTCCTCTCCCTCTACCTTGCCCCACTCCTCTCAATTGTCCTGGTACTCGTCTTCCTCTCCCTCGTGCAGGCATTCATTCATTCATTCATTCATTCATTCTCTCTCTCTCTCTCTCTCTTTGTGTTGTTCTATATCGTTCCTTTTCCACACAAGATCAGCCCAAAGAGTCCTCTTTTAGAACATATGATCATGTGATTGGAAAAACCTCAACACCCGTGTGTGGTTCCTAGATGGGAATCAGCTGTGATTTATATATTTGCATAACTGCAATAAGCTGTTTCTCATTGGCAATGGAATAAAATACAGGGAATATATTTGTGTTTCAATTCACAATATGAACAGCTGTTCACTTTGACTTTAGCCTATATAAGTTATGTTTAGAACATGATGTTATCTGTTCTGACATACAGTGTGAAAGCATATGTAAATTTGACTGTAAAATTACATTGTTTTGGTCTTGGTTGAGCTTGTGTGTAAAAGAAGTTCAAGCATTTTAAATTGGTGTTAACTGTATGGATTTTGTATCAAAGCAACAAGAAATGTGTTAATTGTATAGCCTACAAAGACGGATGTTGTGCTAACCGTGTTAAGAGTTTAGGAAACTTGTTAAATGTTTTGAAAAAACTGTCATAGCGATTGTAAAAAACTGTAAAACAAAGCTGTATCTGTCTAAAGGTTTCATGGGTAGAGCAATACACAGGCACCGTGAACAGTGACTGCTCGCTTGCACACACATGCATTGCGCTCTCGGCATCAAAACCCCGTCATCTGATTGGTCGGTCGTGACTCATGCGCAGTAGGCAACAATGGGCAACTTCACGGTCTCTAATTCAACGGCAGGAGTTTAGTATCAGTTCCTGGCAACTTTTGGCTAATTCAGGTAACTGCTCCATGGTACTCGCACAATTAATGTTAATTTGCGTGAAACAACTCATAATAATGTCACTAATAGTGTTTACCGTTTAGCGAAGGTTGTTTTTTTTTGGTTGTCATGGTTTCAGACTTCATGCGTTTCACAGTAGCTGAAGAGTTAGCTGAGAAACAGCCAAGCGTATAGCTTGAGGATGGAGATACGCAGACAGATATATTGTTACGTTTGAATAAGATCGATCTGGGACGTGTTTTTACAGATCGTTTCCATTACATATGAGCCGTGACATGTACAGATTTTCGAGGGGCAGGTGCTCGAACAGGGGGCGTGCCGGGCGGGAGGGTCGTCTCGGGAGATTTTGCGTGATCGTCGGTTATCGAAAAGCGGCACTTGGGACATCGAAGGGGGTGAACTTTGATTCGTTCAGGCGTACAGGGCAAGTGCTCAAGTACCCCCACCCGGACCCCACACGTATTTGCAAGGGAATCACTCTTTCCAGAGGCCCCGCAAAAAGTCCAGTGGATAGATTTATTATTGCTGATAAGCAGTAATTAGTTTTTGAGAGCTTGTGTCAGAGTTGCGGTGGGAGGTTGCAAATTATGTGTCATATATGTCTCCGTAAATAAATGAGTCTGAGCTTTGAAATTTGTTAACGTATGTCATGGGTAGGCTGTCTCCTGCCGTTACCCTGTACTTATCGGCGCTCCAAAAGGCTTTGCATACGGAGTTAATTGAAATAAATGGTTGCATTACGAATGACTTGCTGCCATGTATTGACAGTGTAATATTCTTTGTTCTGTTACAGTAGAAAATGTGTGAAGGTCCTTCCTTGATATCTGGCCCCATCCCTCCGGATCCGTCGCTCTTTCCTCAGTACTACAGGCAGCCCGCCTCTGGTAAGACAAAGACAGCATGAAGAACTATCAGATGTTCTGGACCTCTTACGTCTGGGATTCCTGAAAAATTAAATGAAACGATTCCTGTTGGCTTTAATCTCCTCACCAGTCAGAAATTAAACCTGGGATGTCTGCTTAGTGCGGATTACTTTAGCTGCTAATTTTAAGCCCTCTAACATACTGGCAAAGGAAGATAACTTGGATGATCCAAACATGCTCTGTACCACCAAAACTAGACCAAGGTATGAACTGTAAGGCCGACTTACTGCATCCTTATCTTTGGTGGCCGTTTATCACCTTTTTTATTTTATGAAGTATGAAAGTGAAACTATGGAAACATTATTTCCATATAAGAAGCACAACTTTTGGTCAGGCAAAGACAGAAAAATTACTTTTCTCTAAATAGGTTTTGGTCATTGGATGATTTTCCTCCTTACATGTTTGAGGAAGGGTGTAAAAGTTCACAAAATTCAGTGCAAACACAATTAGCAACAGATGTAAACCAAAGGCATTGGGTCTGTGAACGTGTCTGAATAACAAAACCTAAGACACGCTTATTTGCACATTGTCAAACAAATTTAAAATTCGAAAATAGAAAATCATAATAATCGTAATGAACCACATCCCGTCCAAATCCCGTGTTCTCTGCTACCAAGTATGGTTGCATATTTATAGTGATACCCCTTTAGCTGTATTTTTTAATCATCATTATTATTTTTTTAGCCCATTCAGAATTTCCCTGCAAACATGCCGCAGTGTAACAGAACAGACAGTCTTCATCTAAACTACGCTGTCCAGTGTTGGTGTACTTTATTGGGAAACCAAAATGTTCCCAAACATCTGATTATGACTGACTATAACCAGCATAAACTGTAACCGACTCACAGCCACAATCAGTATAATGTTTTCCATGTTGAACATCTGCTTCTAAACGTAGGTTCAGCTTGTGTCAATAAAGGTATTCATTTATCTGATTGTGTGTGCTGAACCGAAAATGATGTACTGAACAGATCAAAGGCTTAATTATTATTTATATTGGTGCATTGTATTACAATGCATCCTGTGCAGTGCCATTCTTATTGCTGTAGTATTGTTATTGTTATTATTATTATTATTATACTTCTTGTCAGTCTTCTAAGGACCCCTCCCCGTTGGTTTTCCAGCTAGGGGCCGTTTGGAGGGAAACCACCAGGCAGCTCAAGCTCTGCTCTCGGGGCCACTTGCCCCTGACCCCTCCCTATACCCAGAATGCTACAGTGCACGTGCAGCCCCTCCCCCTCGCATTGGTGCTGGCGCTGCCCACATTCGGGAGAAAAGCCAGAGTGGAGTAGTGGGGGTCCTTCTCAAGCTGGAGGGGGTCTCTCTCAACCCTAACCCCATCAGATCAAGTATGAATCAATACCTGTGCACTTACTGCTGTCTAAAAAATACTCACTATTGATTGCCTGACTGTAATATAGAGGAATTAATAAATAATAATCCATCGATCTTCAAACCACTTAGTCTAGTTATGGTTATAGATGGCTGGAGCCTGTCCCAGGCAGCAGAGGACACTAGTCTAGGTGTCATATACTCTGAGTGGGATGCCAGTCTTTCACAGGGCACATATACATACAAACTAATAATAATAATGATGATGATAATGGATTTGGTCCATATATTTGGGGCTCTGAATGGGCTATAAGTCATTGCAAACTGTGTTGGGCATCTTGAAGCTGAGCTCCCATCACACACAGCCTCTGTTGTCTTATCGCCATGATTCTCCAGAGGCTCAGCCGCGGGACTATGGCAAGGAGAATGTGCGCAGGCTAAGGGCGATCCAGAGACGGTGCCGAGAGCTGGAGGCCGAGAGGGAGTGCGCCCGGCCTACTCCCGTCAAGGCACTCTGGACCTCCTCCAAGTACCAGAGCGTCCCATCAAAGCTGATGGCTCACCTGCAGGTAAGGGAGGACAGCTGGACTCGCAGACGCTATGCAGCACACACCTTTCATGTCCTGCAGCATATAACAAAAAATACTTTGATCTGGGTATAAAAAGCTGCTTTTATCAAGTGAGAGCACTGCGCTTGTTTTACATTTCAAACCAAAGCATTTACATTTGCTCAGAAGTAAATGTTGGGATCTCTGAACAGATGCATCATCTATAGCAGGGGGCGAAATTCCATCAGCAGCGCACAGCCAATCCGGTGGCCTGGGGGGCGGGACCCTGGCCATAAAAATTGGCGATGGGGAAGTTGGGGGAGGGTTCCCCTGATGATAAAATTTATTGGGAGGGTTGATCGTGCGGTCTGCATCCAACTGTGTCTCGGGCCGGATTCAGATCGCCAGTTTTGGGAATGACAGAGAGATTGCAAAATGTAATCGGCTCAAGCAAACTGCTCATCCTCTCTCTCTCTCTCTTTCTTTCTCTGTCTCTCTCTCTCATTCTGTTGGTGATAGGATGCTGCCCCCCCCAAGAAGGCCGAGTGCCAGAACTTTCTTAAAGCGCACTCCGGCAGCGGAGCTCAGGGGTCGCCGCGCCTGCACCGCGCAGCCTCCTCCCACAGCCTGGTCGCCCCCGATGCCGAGGTGAGGCGCTGGCCTGTGCTGTCAACAGGAGCGGCAGATGTGTGGGGAATATCGGATCAGTTTGGGGTCAGAACCATATGAAAGTGGGGGGAGACAATAGTATATGTATGAGTGTAATATGAAGTTAGCAAACAGGTGCAGAACCCTTCCACAGCATGGCAGTAAAATACAAATGCAGTATGAGTGACATAATTATCAGAATTTAAGACCATGAACCCTGGGTACTGCAAGTACAGAATATAACGATGACTAAGCAGAGTTTAAAGTTTGCATGACCTGAGGGCAAAAGCTTCTCCTCAGCCTCTCAGTCCTGGCATTATGGCTTGGACTCATTATGGTTCAGCATTATGGTGCTGGAGTTTGCCTGAATACAAACACTGGAAAAGTCTATGTCTTGGCCGAGGTGTGTCTGCAATTATCTGTTTTCCCCTGATCCTGCACTGATGGGTTTAGATGTCCGGCAGGCTTGGCAGTATTGTCCTGCAGATCCATTCAGCACTCCGTCTCACACCATATTGTTATAAAACTGTATTGTTATTATAATTTCTGTATAGTATATAAATACTATTATAGTATATAGTATTCTTGTTACTCAGATATGGAATCACAGAGCCCCTCCTAGTATAAGCTGGCATTTTCAGCCTATTAGAGTGTAAGCATCATGCTGCCTGCGTCCTCCTTGCTCTGCAGATGCGTGTGTGCGGGACGGCCATGGACTTTGTGAGGCACAACATGCATGCTGCAGGAAAGACAGCCCTGCGGCGCTCGCAGTCCCTCCAGTCGCTGGCGAAGCTGCCCAGTGCGCAGAAGGGGCGCGTACCAAAATAGTGAGTGACGCTAAGCCGCCCGCCGGCACCCCTGGAAGCCAGAGGAAGTCCGTGTGCCTCCCTCACTCACTTCCTGCCTCTTCCAGTCTGGAGCAGAGGAAGGAACAGTGGCGACAAGAGGAGGAAGAGAAGAGAAGGAACACCCCCGACCCATCTATCCCTGCAGGACACACTCTGATGTCTGAGAAGGAGAGACAGGAAACACTTCAGTCCCTGAAAGAAAGTATGCTGCTTAGTTTTAATTCCTTTGCAGCGCTGAGTTGCAGATTTGCAGGCCTGTATATTCCTTTGATACTTTTGTACTTCTAACATACCAAACAGTATGCGACCTGCCTGCCAGTTTACTCTGGAATGCTTACGGTGTTAGCTTGTGGCACAATTTAGGAAGGGCTAATTCATTTCCAGAGGGCATTGCACATCGTAGGTGCTGCCCTGGTTCTTAAGGGGCAGCCTGTCGCTTTTCTCGTCCAGTTGGCCATCCTGTTCCGTGTCGCGCTTTACCTCGTCTTGCACCCAGGTCTGAGTCTCTTCTCCCTGTTCCTCCCCAGCCCAGCGGTCCCTGGTGACCGAGCTCCTCTCCCTGCCCGTGCGTGTGGATACCTTGAGTGTTCAGAATCGCCGGGCTCAGCTAGACCGCAGGCTGTCTGAAGTAGAGGAGGCCATCAAGGTCTTTTCCCGGGACAAAGTGTTTGTCAAGATCGACTCTTAGTAAAGCCAGCAAAATGTCTTCCTAGGATAAAGTATTAGTCAGTATTCCCAGCATGGGGAGAGACTGAAAGACCAGATAATATTTTCTATCAAGAGCAATACTCTTTGTCCATTTTTGTATCACATTGTAAATATGTGTTTTGTAGCAAATGTATAGTATTTATCATCTCATTTCAATGTTAAGACTCTTTATAAATAAATAGAAAATGAGACAATCTGTAAATATGATCCAAAATATAGGAGATTAATTTGTAATAGAAGTTTTCTAGATCTGGAGGGCAACAAAATAATTGTTATTCCTTCGGATCAAGAGTAGCCTGCTACGGTGATCCGGGAATCTTACAGGAATACAACCTAGACGGCTCCCAGGGGAGAGATTCCGGGCTTGTCCCCCTGGGCCCAGGACACACTGGAGGGATTAAATCTCCCAGCTGGCTTGGGAATGTCTAGGGATCCCCCAGGGCAGGGGGTCGGCAACCCGCGGCTCCCGAGCTACGTTTTTAACACGTGGCTGCGTCTCTTCTCATAATGATAGACGAATTCACATTTTCATGTCTTAACATATCATGTAATACTTTCGTAAAGATAAATAATTCATTTATGGTTTAATATTATTATTTTTCGTTTAGATATTTCTTTAGCTATATGTGAATGAAGCAGTCCGTCACACGCTTCTGTTACGTTTTCACTGCATAATTTACATCTTCCTCAAAGTCATTCACTAAAACGAGATCACGTCTCTGGTTAAATGGTATGCGTTCCGGAGTTTTTTTAAGCACCTGAGATTGGATGTATGCTTCAACGTTTATTAGGATTCCTAATTCTTTCATGTACTTTTTGTAGTAAATCGTCACCACGCCTTCCCAGGTCTCCGTGGAAATTATTATATTTTCTCCGAATCACATATTATAGCCAGCTGAGTTCAGAGTGGTGAGGACATTTTGCGCTGCTGGGTCAGCAGAGTAACAGTACTGAAGTGGAGAGTGAAGGGCAGACGACCGCAGGGCCAAACAAAAGGAGGGATGAGGGCGAAGACTATCGCTACAGAACTAAACTGCGCTGTGCTGTTAGTCACCTTTGCACTGTTACGTGTCCGAGTGATTTAAACTTGAGTTTTTGTAAGTACTTTAACTTTTATTTTTGTGTTAAATGCATATATACACATATCACATTAAAAATCGTATCTCAATCCCCCTTCTGGCTCTTTGTAAATCTTGGGTCAGACGTTTAGGAGCAAATGGCTCTTTGCTTTAAAAAGGTTGCCGACCTCTGACCCAGGGCCACAGAAAAAGACCAGATCCGACCTGCTTGGCACGATGCCCCCGCAAGCCTCAACAGGGCGAGGGATGGGAAGAAGAAGATGATGATGAGGAGGAGGACTTTCCTTAAATTGACCAGGATTAGTACAACATTTTGGTATATTAAATAAAGAAGAAAAGTGTCTGTGTGTTTATAAACTTGCAAATGTATTAATTAGTATTGACATTACTTGCCCTGGTTTAAATCTCCACTCTCTGCATGGAGTTTGTATATGTTTTCTTTGCATTCAAAGTTCAGTGAAATTTGATTGATCCCAAATATTTATTAAAATTACCCTAGAAGAAAATTAATCATGGCATGAATTTATATAATTAGTTTTAAGTTTGTCAATTTAAGGTATTTTTCTTACTGTTTGTGCTTTTTCTTATACGAGGACTTGGTTTTGTGTTTTTTTTTTTACCATATTCAACATGGTGCTAACCCCCAACACTCATAATGGAATTCAAATTAAATTTTAATATGAATCATTACAAAATATCCTCCATTTCCTATTTTCAGTTTGTTGTTTTCAGAATCCTGACTGTAGTGCGTTTAAAAACAGGGGCCATCCTTGTATTTAACTCAAGTTCAGAAAATTAAGCTTGGTCTAGCAAGGAATCTATAATAGACGCAAGTATATTATTTTGTTCTCGAAACTCAATTTTTTATAGTAGGATACACAAGTAGACACATCACTTCTGTGAAGGTTATCCTACGAGAACGAAGAATACCATATTACCCCAGAGGTCATGTAGATCAGGACTATTCAATACTGATCCTTTCGCATCTGGGCAGTTATTCCCATAGCCCACAGCAGAGAGCAGCACACTTGTGTTAGATGAAGGTGACTGACCGTCGAAGAAGAATAACCGTTTACGTTCCTTACGTTGTCACGTAAGTATGCGGCACGCACGCACGGAATTTTTTTTTGTAAGATTTCATTGTTCAAACGAATGTCAGTGCAAGACTGGGTTTAGTTTTCTTCTCTTGCATAATTATCCCGTTTGAGTCACCGATCTCAGTACAAAACAGCTATACAAAGCGATGAGTAAAAGGAAGGCGCCGCAAGAGAAATTGAACGAAGGAATCACAGACTTTCTTATAGGTACGAAGCAAAACATTAGCTGCTAACAGTTAGCTTCTGTATTGTTCGCATGATGGTGTTTGTATTAAATCCCAGAAATATCACTTTAAAATCATCGTACTGTATAGCTGCCGATCATGAAATAAAAATGTATTTTGTCGTTTAGATGTACTCAATCAGCCAGTCATTTATTCGAATAATGACTGCGACGGATGCTATGATAGTTGCAGTTTCAACACAGTCTTAAAAGTGTACTTCTTAAATCTGAATATTATATTTTTAGCAATAGAAATAACCGCCGTGCTTTGTGGCTATAACTGTGCACACTAGTACTAATAGAGGTGTGTATCTGTGCACTTAAAGATTCTCTTCCGCCTTTAAAAATTAAAACCCCTTCGTACGAATTCTGATTGGTTAAGAGGACATAAGTAACGAAGCATTCCATATTACAATGGACAATGTTTTACATACAGCTGTTATTCTGTTTTTACATGTGCTTCGCAGTTACATTGTTTATAATCTTAAATAAAACCTTAAAGGACTCCTGTTCCCAAGTGACTCATAATGGGTTCCCAGTGACATAATGGGTAGTAATAAATAAATAAAATGGGCGCGACCATATAGAACTATAGGTAAAACCAACATGCTTAATTTCCTGTTATCTTTCTGCTTCATGATCTCTCTGCAGAACTGGCTAATTATGAGAGAAACGTGAACCGAGCTATTCATAAGTACAATGCATACAGGTGAGCTGTGGTGGTGGTGGACAGTTTTCTTAATGTTATGAAACTAACAAATAACTTGGCTTATTTTCAGAATTTTTAATGAAACTTGGCATTGTCTTGCACTTCTCTTCCCCTGTGTTACAGGAAAGCTGCTTCTGTCATTGCGAAATACCCAGAGAAGATTAAAAGTGGCACAGAAGCCAAGAAATTGGTATGGGCTCTGTGCTTCTGGAGTGACATAGGAGGACAATTAAAATGCTGTGTGTCTGTCACACCAAGTATCTAACGCTCAGCAGCTCTTTCCGTTCTCCCATATATGTTTTTGTCAGTCACTCTTTACATTTTGTCGACAACAGGATGGAGTGGGAGCGAAAATCGCAGAAAAGATTGACGAGTTTCTGGCCACAGGAAAGCTGAAGAAGTTAGAAAAGGTGAATGACATGTCAGCCAGTGTGTCTATGGATCTGCTTTTCAACTTTGTAATTTCACACATACTTACGGAACAGTGTGAAATCTTGGCGGGGGGGGGGGGGGGGGTGGTGTCAGAACAAACAGTGCAATACTGAACAAGATGAATAAAAACATAAGAATAAAATAAAACGGTGTTGGCAAAATATACACACACACACATGATATAAAATTGATGTGATATACATATAAAAAATATAACAAGCTGTTAATTTGTTTTTGATATCACTGGTTTTCACAGATCCGAAATGATGATACCAGCAGTTCCATTAACTTCCTTACCAGGGTCACCGGCATTGGGTAAGGCTTTTTCTTTTGTGTAGTTTGATTTGTTTGGTTTTTCTTTCTTTCTTTCTTTCTTTGTGGTTTTTTGGGATGTATTTCAACTCTGATTGCATGCTACATTTTATTCTTTCTCTCTACAGCCCGGCAGCTGCTCGCAAGTTTGTGGAAGAGGGTGTGAAGACACTTGAGGGTTCGTTCTCCTGTTATAATTTCTTTACAAAAAGCCTGAGACTCAAGAACAGAGTGATAAGTGAAGATGAGCTTAACTCTGTCATTATTCCAAATGCACTGAAATAGTGTAACAGAAAATTGAGTTATGCAGCTATTCAGAATTTGAAACATTGAAGTGTTCATATAAAATGTAGCTGGAATATAAATGTATAGTGATTTTTAACCTAGTTTTCACTATAATTTCAGATCTGAAGAAGAATGAACACAAGCTTAATCACCATCAAAAGATTGGACTTAAGTATGTGGTTTAATTTAATCTATTCTGGGTGGAGTGTCTGTTCAAGAATGTGGGTAATTGTTTGTACACATTATGAGTAATAGGTTTGTTGCCTTTGATTTAATTGTGTTGGTAAATTTTAGTAATTAAGAAATAGATGATTGTAGTTATTTAACATACTGTGCTGCAGATACTTTGAGGACTTTGAGAAGAGAATTCCTCGCGCTGAGATGGAAAAGATGGAGGTGGGTAATATAGCAGTATAATTTTAGAAATGTGTGAGATATCACTAGGCGACCTAGCCACGCTCACGTTGTGTCTGTTTCGTGATGAATACTATCGGGAAATACAAGACAAAGGAAACTTCATGCCTTTTCATGAAATGCAATTTCTTTTGATCATACATCAGGATCCTTGACTCCAGGCTTCCCCCTGTGTGTCCTCTCTGTAGGCTCTGATTCTCCAGGAGCTGGAGGTTGTGGACCCAGAGTACATCGGAACCATCTGTGGAAGTTACCGGAGAGGTGGGCCTACGGTTTTCACTTAAACATAGTTAATTTGCTTGTTGGCGTGTAAAACCCCCCGTAATTCGCTTGTAATGTGTCCACATACTGCCAGGGGCTGAATCCAGTGGTGATATTGACATCTTGCTGACTCATCCAAACTTTACCTCTCAGTCTGAGAAACAGGTAACAGTCACCTGAAAATGATATTTGGTAATGTGATGTAAATGCAAAACTGCAACTCTAGTTATTTCCATTAGGCTGTTGTATGGGGAGGGACCGTTTCCCCAGTGGGCCAGTGGGTTTGAGAGGGACTCCATTCCAGCCCTTTAGTGAATTAGAATGCTGGGGCAGTTCCTTATGTTCCCTAATTCCTCGTTTCCTACCTTGTTTCATATTTTCTTCCGCAGCCCAAACTTGTGCATGATGTGGTCGACCACCTTGAGTCACTGAGCTTCATCACTGACACCTTGTCAAAAGGAGACACAAAGTTCATGGTCAGTGGTGCTTTCAGTTCTTTTCTTTGCTCTTGGAATTAACCAGAGATGGTAGAATGAGACTTCATAACACACAGCAGTAAGCTGTCAGTCACTGGCCGGTCTGACACATTTTGCTGTTTTTTATTGGTCCCCCTTGAATTTAGCCATTCTTTCCACTGCTAGCTTTGTGCATTCTGCTGCATGTTTTGGCTCAAAAAATCTGTTCCTGACTTTGGTAGGGGGTATGTCAACTGGATCATGGCGATGGAGAAGAAGAATACCCACATCGCCGCATTGACATCAGGTAGACGCATCTCCATATTGGCATTACTGGATGAAATCATTGTGCTCTGTCAGTCACTGTCTGTGGTGAGGATCAAAATGTGTCAAAATATGAACTGAAAAAGTGCAACATGTCACTCACTATGGCTTTTTAATGGCCAGATCTCCTCCATAAAAAAAAACATATGTTTGATACGCTGTAGGGCCATTTGTCTATCTAGATTGGTGTGGTGAGAATTACTTAGTTTTGGAGATATTGGCCGTTGAAATTTTTGGCTTCTCTTGAATATAATGGAAGTGAATGACATTCTTTCTGTGGTAATTAAAGTGCCAAAAGCATACATTTCAAAAATCGAACAGCAATGTCTCTGACCAGAAATCATTACCCAGTTATTGAAGATAATCCACAGACTTTGTAGTAAGCAGTTTAATGTACAAACTATTTTCTTTCTACCGAACCCCACACTGTAATCGTATCTCTGCGCAGAAGTTAGCACTGGGGCGTTCACGCTCTTGACAACATGACCTAATGTAAACATCAGTGGCATCCAACTTGACTGAGAGCTAACTTTTGCTAGCTCACTGATGTTGGGTGAGCTAGCAGTATTGAGCTGTAATTAGTATTAACTAAGGTAGTATTATCAGGAGCACAAACTGCCCCTTTAAATGCTTGTTTCTTCGCAATAAGCACTTTTAATCAATCAGTAAGTCACAAATTTCATAGACTGATTTCACTGCTGGGCCATTAAGCAAGACCCTTAATCCCCAGTAATTAAAATGTATCACTTTGGATAGAAAAGCATTTTCTAAGGACTAAAATGTAAATGTATTCTGAGAAGAGGCAAGTAAACTCGAGAAGCTTATATCAGTATCAAATCGGCTCCCTTTTTCCTCTTTATATTTTCTGTGTGTAATTTCCTTCTCAGATTGATCCCTAAAGACCAGTACTACTGTGGTGTACTGTATTTTACGGGCAGTGACATCTTCAACAAGAACATGAGAACTCATGCTTTGGAGAAAGGTTTCACTCTCAATGAGTACACCATCCGGCCAATTGGGGTTACTGGTAGGTTACCAGCACATGTTAGTACCTTAATTTTTTATCTTTGTGGGGGTTTGAAAATCACAAGTATGTTCTCTTTAGATATTAGGGTACATTTTCTATCTATTATATAATATTAATACACTGGATGTCTATCAGACTTATTGAATTTGTTGGTTGTTTGCAAGTGATATTAACACCCAGTTGTTGTTCTCAGGTGTAGCAGGAGAACCTCTGCCGGTGGATAGTGAGAAGGATGTTTTCGACTACATCCAGTGGAAATACAGAGAGCCTAAAGACCGCAGCGAATGAGAGGCAGCTGGGGTCACATGAAAGCACTCCGGCCTTAGTTACTGTCATCCATTTTAGCAAAATCAAACTGTTGCAGATTATTAGAACATATGTGTGTTTTGGGGACTGTGTGCATGTGTGTGCTTGTGATTTCATTTTAATTTTGGTCACTTTTCTGGGAGAAATTGCCTTTAGAGATGGCAGAAAGTTTAGGGAGGTCTCTGGAAACGTGTTTTTTTTACTTTGTCTAATTTTTAGCTTTTTGAAGGTAATATTGTATTTGGCTTACTTAATGTGATGCCCAATGTACAACTTATGATAATGTCAGAGTGCTTTTCTAGATGAATGATTGCATAAACTCATGAGTAAGAATACAGGGAAACGGCCTAGCATTCTACTGCTTTTGGAGGAGCGATGACTTTGATATTACTGCTAAAATCATGCAGCACTGACAATTAATGCTCTCAGATGGAAATGTTTCCTTTTGCTGCTGTTTTGGAACATCGTACCGAAACGCGCCGGTGTACATGAGAGCGTTAATTGTGGCCCAGGAGGAGCAGACGTAAACCAATACTCAGTGTGACTGTGTAACTGTCCTGTTCAATGGCTCCTTTTGGGGAGCGACGTCCGTGGCGGGGCTCATGTTACGAGTTCTCAGGGACGAGCTAATGGTGTTCAGACAAAGATCCTCATAGGTTTACCTCTCTGTCCTCTTCATGTTTCAGATGGAGCAACAGCAACAGGCACAGTTCTGGGTCATTATTGTTAGACAAGTATCACTTAAAAGCTTGTAGTTGCTACAGGTTCAGTTGCATTATACATGTTGTAAGTATTAGGCAAAATCCTGTACATGGTATTGGTACTTTTGTAGGTAAGATGACTTAATTCTCTACGTAAATGTACTATTGAGGGCAATGATGAACGACCTCTTCATTCATTTTGGGCTTGGCACAAAGTATAAAATTCTTACTTCTCGATTGAATGCCTATTGCATGTTTTTCTTTTAGCCATATTATAGCTCTTGCCATTTGGAAATTGTGTTAAAATTGAATATGCCATGATGTCACAATCAGACAAATGAATCGAGTATTTGGACAAATGCAGTACTGCACACCTGCTGCTAATACAGGTAATATTACTACACGCTTGTCAAAGTAGAAAGGTGCTATAGACCACAAAAAGCTTACAGTTCCATACCAATCTGGAACTGAATATCATTTGTTACTGTTGTTGTTAAGTAAATAATTGCACTTATTTATTTGTCAGTTGAGTGTAAAGGAAAACAATATTGACTGTATGGTATTTTCATGAGGTAGCTATTTAAAAATAAAGCTCCATAGTTAATAGATATGTTATACACGTTGTTCAAATTATCTGCTAAGATACATGGAAAATGGATTTGTTTTTGAGAAATAAAAACATTTATTTCCACGTCCTTGTTTCAGTCCTTGAGAAAATATATAGAAGCTATAAGTAGTGCTAAAAATACTTCATCTGTAACTAATGTGATTTTCTTGGTTTTACTATCGCCTGATATCCAGTGTACGATCGGGCATACATAAATTTTACTACAGTAATTTTTGCGGTGGACCCACTAGAACGGTTAGCTAGTTAGCCGACGGTATTGAAATAAAATGTCAAGATAGGCATCAACATGTTTGAATGTTTTATAGTCTAAAAATTAAACAGGATAACAAAATATTAAATGTACACTTCGATACTTCGGTAATTAGTAATGCTTTTATACAAATTAATATTTAAAGAAATACTCAAATTCTCTTTCTTCCCCTACAAGAGTTTTGACCAGGACAACATGAAGTAAAAGCTTTTAAAAACCGAATGATGGCTGCTAGCAGCGTTGCCCTGTAATTACCCGTCAAATGTTCTAGAAAATTTCAAAGGGCGTAGGTCAGCCACGAGGAATTAAGGAACGCTATCGGGTATGTCATATACGCAGCATTTACTATAAACTAAAAAGTGTCAGTCCACTTTCAAAAAGTAAATTCAGTCATATAATTCATATAATTCAGGTATTCCAATACTTTTTAAACAATGAAAGGACGCTCAGCGGTGGGCAAAATGAGCTGTTTTAATGAAAAGTAACCATGGATACCAAAACTGGCGTCTTAAACGCAAAGGATCATGGTTTGAAATAAAATGCTGGCATAAAGTCCAGCAAAACTCAGAGTGATTAACCAATAGGATAGTTGTGTGCGCTCTTTTGAACCAATAGCGCGCCGACAGGGTGGGTTATGCTTGAAGCATTCTCCAGCCATTTGCCGAGCCGAGACGAGTCCGTTTCAGCGACGAAGCGATTCGCAGGGCGTGTGGTCTGTGATACTTACCTAGCAGGTAACATTTTCCCGTACTTGCAAAGTTGTATTGCAATATTAATAAAACCGGTCAGAAAGCGGAATAAAAATTTTACATTCTGTAAAAAATTCAAGCTATATTATTAATAGTATTTAAATTCTGATTATTTAGGTAACAAATTAAAAGAACGATAGTGGAAGGTGGGTAACCACTGATTTTAGCTTTTTTTTATTAGTAATTTCTATACACCTGCCGTTTAAAACTATAACCAACTTTATGATTTTGCAAACTTAGTCGTTTATTATTTTTATGTTAACGTACTGTGGTGTTTAAGTGGAATATACGGATAACTCGCTGCGGTCATTATTGGCCGAAACACCTCCGGGTGTGAAACGGGCGGATCCGTCCGTCTGCAGTAATCGGGAGCCTTTTCGTGAAGGCTGGGGGACGGGGCGACAGGGACACACACACACTACGGGAAACTGAGAGGCGTCAGTTTGCCTGGAGTCTTCGCGTAGGGAAAGCGGAGTACCCGGAGGAAACAGAAAACACAACAATTCGGGGTGGGACTCGGACCCACAACCCCGCAGGTGTGAGAAGTACTTGGAAGTATGTCTTTTAGCTGCATTACTGTTAGGTTTTGTGGAAGCCGAGTTGATAATTATGCTTTTATGAGGTGAGGTTACAATAGCGAAAATTTCTTGGAAACCACGTGTGTTTCACATTGTATGGTATTAATTCGTTATCTGCCCATGATTTATTTTTGTTAAATTCCGCTTTACGTCCATATGAAATATTTAATGTTTTCACGATGATTTCGCACGACGCGCCCTTGGCGCATCTCTCGGAGCGCTTTCAAGGTGCCGCAGGGATGCCCCACGTCCAGCTAACGAATGTGCTCCTTGCGCTTTTTGCAGCGTAACCATGTCCGACAGAAAGGCGGTGATCAAAAACGCGGACATGTCCGAGGAGATGCAGCAGGACGCCGTGGAGTGCGCGACCCAGGCCCTGGAGAAGTACAACATCGAGAAGGACATCGCCGCCTACATCAAGAAGGTAGCGTGCCTCGTCATGTCATTAATCCCCTTAATTAATTTGCTCTAGTGATGCGCAGATTAAGGGTATCCAGAAAGATGATAGAGAGAAAACATTAACAGAGAGGTCACTTGTGTTCTAAGGGCCTGTGTGGCCCAGGGCCTGTGCCCACGCGCTGAAGAGTGGAGTATTGTGAACGCCGCTTTTGATTTTTTTTTTTTTTATAATTGCCGCTGTATTGTATGTGGGAGGAAAAAACTGCATCATGACCTTTTCTATGCTGCATTCTCATGAGATTACATGCATGTCAATATCCGTCAGACATACAGTGCAGCTGTTATTTACTGTGCATTCATTTCATTGAACTGAATTCCTGCATTAATGTTTCTCAGTTATGTCTTATTTGGTGGTGGTGGTGGGGTTAAGATAATTTTTTTTGTTGTGTTTGAAGTGGTGCATAGTGAATTCAGATTTTTTTTTCCACCTAGGAGTTTGATAAGAAGTATAACCCCACCTGGCATTGCATTGTGGGGAGGAATTTTGGCAGCTACGTCACCCATGAGACCAAGCATTTCATCTACTTCTACTTGGGTCAGGTGGCCATTCTGCTGTTCAAGTCGGGCTGAAATTGCAGCTCAGCAGCAAAGCCCTGAAGTTTAACTGACTGGGAAAGACTGACAAGAAAAGACCTTTTTGGTTACAGGGACCTGCATTTTTTCTGTGCTGCTTCTGTTAGAAATGGCCATGTAAAGACTTGTATTTATTTTCTATATAGCAGAATGTTGTCCTCAAAATAAATTTTTTACTTAAGTTTCATGACTGGTTTATTCAAGCTCCACGACTTCATACTTAGTATGCATTTTTTGCTACAGTAAGTGACTTTCCATAGCATTTCATAGATGCCCCTGCATTTCTTCCACGCATAAGACACACTGAAGCTTATATTGCAAACCAGCCTGAGACTCAACGCTAAGGCCCCCATACATACGTCACCCACCAACTGTCACAACACACATAATGGGAAACTTTAGGGTGCATAGCCTAAAAGGGCAACATAGCCAGGGAATCAGATTTAAAGATCACTGGTAATTTAAAACCTTAAGTCATGCTTCAGCCAATATTAACCCCACCTTCCATAACTAAAGTCAATGAGCCTGTACACTATGCCGGCCAGCTGGGGGGGGGGAAATACCCCATAGCAGGGCTTGCAGCACATGCACTGGAGAAATTTACAGACATCTGACACACCGAGGCAGGACCAAACCCACACAGGCACAACAAATGGACAGCAAACCAAAGAGGAAGAGAAGCTGCAGCCCTGATGGCAAGAGGCTGAATTGCTGACCACCAAGCCGCTGCATGACCCCAACATATTGGGTTACTGCAAAAATGAATGAGCACACACTGAGTCGGGACAGGATGTCATTTATTAGACTGTTTAGAAGACCAGCTTGTGCGGATAGACACCGTTGGTGAGGCAGAATGAGCCACGCAGGTATCCCTTCAGCTGAGGGACCTTCCTGATGAGGGGCAGCAGCTGGGAGTCCACAGCCTTCTGGTCAATCTTACGCTGCTCAGTCACCTGGTATTTCTGTGGGGGAAACGGAAAATGTACTAAGTGAGGAAGGCTTGAGGTCAGACAGCAGGACCTGTATCAAAGGAACCTGGAGCAACTGAGGTTTAGGCCCAACTCTGCTGGTCACAGGATTCAAAGCAGCAACCTTCGCAACACAAGCACATCTGGCCTCTAACCGTACCCAGTATATGGCCACACCTTCACAGTACACTTGAATAATCACTTACATGTATACATACAAACTTGGGCCCAAAGTAGTACCAACATGGAATAAACAAAGCTTTAAAGACATCACTGCCAGGAGAAGATGGCCAAGCAAGGAAGATTCATATCGGGAACTTTTAAAAATACCAAAAACTCATCCCGTTTAAATATGATTTGCCATTAAACTACGACAAGTAAATAAGATACTCAAGACCCTTATGATCAGGACAGCGTTTGTCAGATATGTAGGGTTCAATTTTGACCCGTCTTGTCAAATAATTTTACACATCAATCTGCATGGGTAGCAGGCCAATGTACATCCAATTAGCCAACAGCAGAAACTTAATTTCATTTAATGAATTGTGTAGTGTCAATTCAGAAATGTCAATCCCCGATTTCAAAGGGCTTGTATATTAAAATTGAGAAGATTCAAATTGAACAAGCAAGTTTAAACCACACCAACACTCCATACAGAGGGGTTCTCAATGAATGTCCAAATACTTTAAACCAGTTCTGCAAATTCAAATAGCCTAAACTCCTATTCTTTGAAAATTCAAATCATGTCTTCAACAGATAATGTGACAGCGAAGAGATGATTTTGAGACATGGGACGATTACACACTTGTAGAGGGGTAAAAACCAAAAATAAAATCACTACTTTTAACATCCCCAAAAATTGCCCATTAGTAAAATCTGTTTCAAACAGAAGGTTCAGAGCCTCACAAGAAGTACATAAAGGATAGCAAAAAATAAGGGCTGACAAGTCATGTTTAAATGTAACATTTTCACAATTGATCAGATGCATGATATTCCCAGACAACGTAAACCATGTAAATCAGCTGGAAAAGCAATTCTACTCAGAGTGAGAATGTAGAAAGAACACATAGGTCTTATGGTATCGAGGGGAACATTACCTCCTTCTCCGTGTCAAAGATCTCACCCTCCTGGTGCCGGGGCCTCCTCAGCTTCTTCTTCTTGAAGTATGAGTCTGTGAGGGTCCTGGGGATCTTCACAGTGGAGATGTCGATTTTGGTGGTGGTGGCAATGACAAACTTTTGGTGTGCTCTACGAAGAGGCACGCGATTGACGACCAGGGGCCCTGAGCAAGGACAGATCAAACAGGGCGTCAGTCATTGTCAACCAGCATTAATCTCAGACATGAGGCCTGAAGCTGAGGCAAGAGTCGTTCAAAATGGTAAACAGGACACTGTGGCAAATCAGTTGCAGATAATACACTAAACACACACAAAAAAAAAACAAACACACACAACATCTCTCCATCCTGGGTCAGAACTTATCATTTTCTCCTCAAGCCTGTTTTCTATTTACTGCTCATCATTCTAACAGCTACAGTGCAAGACTCATGTATAATGATGTTACAGCAACGTCCAACAGGACTATCAGTCAACTCTTACCGGTGACAAGGAGAAGACCACTGGACAGCTGCTTCAGGAACACAACACGCTAAGGGAGGGGGAAAATAAAAGATTGTTCTATATCAGATTTTCACAGTAAATGACTAACTGTACATACATCCAAGAACGAAAACACAGCCCATGTCCCAATGACCACTTACTGAATGTTCAGGCCATGTGTTCTACACTGTGCATGCAGACTGACTTACCTTACTACAGTATAATGTAGTACCTCCACACAAAACAGGGCACTAAGAACTCATTTGGAATGAACAGCAAAGAGCCTTAAAGATATTTAGCTAAAGATATCAGATTCAGGAGGTGACAGGCACCGCTTAAGGCTTAAGAAGCAGCAATCAGACATACACTTGGGCTGGATTTCTGGCAGGATAAGCGCAGCGGTGTGTATGCCCCCCTGGGCTCACCTTGCCGCGGTGCCGGCCCATCAGCAGGATGAGGACGGTGCCTGGGGTGATGGAGCTACGCAGCCGCCGCTTGTGCTGGCTGAAGGGTTTCTTGCCGTGACTCAGGAGCTTGCGAGGAACGTCTTCTGTGGGGTAGTAGCGGGGCTTTGGGGAGAAAAAGCCATCAGTGAAAGCTGCATGTAAGGGGGAGAGTGAACACACCAACCCAAAGAGACGCACAGTCTCACCATCTTCCGCAGCTTGACCACACGCGTGCCTCCATTCTTGTCCCCTCCAACGGTCTTTGTGACCGTTGTCGGCAGCTTTTCCTTCAACTTCTTCTCAATCTACGGACACGTACACCATTATGCATATAAGCTGCACATTGCTGCCCAGAAACCCTTACATGTTAGGAACAAGAACACACCATGAGTTTACGTCTGCATTGGGATGTACAGAGACCCCTCCAAGTTTCATATTCCTGTCTGAACCACACCTGACCTCTGCCCCACCGGCCCATCAAATATTATGTACTCACCTTGGTTTCAGGTGCCTTGGTTTTCCTCTTATATAGCGCCTTGCGAGCATACATGACAGAGCGGGAGTAGCGACACAACCCCCGAGCCAGCACTGGGTTGCGGCTCGAGTGCCTCTTCTTGGCCGCCTTCTTCTTCTTCACCACCTTCTTATCACCCTCTGCCATCTGTGGTCAAGGATAATGTACTAGTTAGGAGCGAACATCTCATCAGCAATGCTACAGCCTTAGCAAAACTTAGCCAAGTCAATACGACTAACACCAGCAAGGCATTTAAGCTACGCAACGTTCAATTTAATCTGTCGCCAGCAGTTAAAGAATTCAGCTAAGGCTATCTGAACGAAATTACAATTTTTGACAAAAACGTGCAAATACAATGTGCCGCCTACTGTAGAGCATGCGGGGCAATTATAAGACATCAGCAGAAACGTCTCCAGTAACAGTTTTTCGGGCGCTTGAATACCCGAAGTGCTTCTGACAAGCAGCTTTTACAAGTTGTTAAACACCGAACGGTAATCAATGGGAGCACATATCATTCGTGTATTCATAAATATTAGTGCGGAGGCCCGACTCACGCTACACATCGACAAGGACTCAAAACAGGCAGCTCGATACAGCCATAAGCCCTGTAACACTGACAAGGAAGAAGCCGAACAAAACTTCTTAGACATAAAATGCCGCCAGCAGCAGAAAGGCAACGATTAACTTTTATATTGATTGTACTGGAAAACGTACAATTATTCGCGAAAAAGGAGCATTTTGTGCGTGCTTATCTCTGGTGTTGGGCCTACGCTTTCAAAATCATTGATTTAATCAAATGTTCGCGCAAAAGAAATGCGTAATTTCCACATTAAAAGACATTAACATTGATAAAATGTTCATATATAAACGAGCAACTAAACAATTAATTTGTTTTCGCAAGGATGGTTAACGATATTAATTCCCAGAAAGGAACGAGGAGGAACCATTCTTACCTTTACTAAGAAAAAAAGACCGACATACGGGACACTGACGGCTATAAACGAGATTTGCGTGACGTAGGACGCACACGCATTGCCTGCTGGACTATGTAGTTTTTAGTTGAATGTTACAGGAATTTAGAATTACACTACTATTACTGCTACTACTACTAATGATGATGATGATGATGATGATAATAATAACAATAATAATAATAGATACTTTATCAATCCCCATGGGTAAATTCTCTTTACACCTCCCCCAACTTTCTCTCTGTAGGTGAGAACAAGCCGGCTGCTTGCTCATTATGCCTAGATATTGAAATTACGTGATAACAGTCAAATATATTTTTCAGGTTCATTATGAGCTAAGTATGCACAGTGTGCACAGCTAACTTGGACAATCAATAAGAGTACTCTGATGGCCAAATAAATAATTCAATACATAATTCAATGCAAATTAATACAACATTTAAAAACAAAAATGTGGTTTTCAGGCAGGGCCAGATCTATCTCTTCACTGTCCTTAGGCAAAGCTTTATTTGGGGCGCCCCCCTACCAAGAAAAGTGATTATCGTTTCACTTCCTCCACGGCACAGGTAATTTGGGGACTCTAGGCAACTGCATATTTTGCCTATAGCTAGAGGCAGCCATGGGGGAGAGAATTTTTTCTGTGGTACGTCTGTCTGTCTGTCTTTCAATTATCTGCTTACTAGTTAACTAACTAAACTATGTGCATTGAATCCTGCAGCATATCAGCATCTGAGGAATGGCATTTGTGCCACGTGATAGATTTCAAATATGCTCTGACCCTGTTGTCTGAACATTTGACCGTTGTCAGTGTCACTAAGAGCTCTCTAGTGTGTGTGTTATACATTATATTTATATTATATATATATATACACACTACAGACAAAATTGAACAAAAATGACTTGTTTGTAATTTGAACTAAAGAAAACAAACTATAGTTACCAAACTTTCTTTTATTAAGAAATGATTCCTTATACAAACATAGAACAAAGCAATTTCAGGCTTTTCCAGTTTGCTCATGTATCTGTGAACCTTTTGATATATAACTGAGCCAGTTAGAGCGAGTGTGTTTATCATGGTCAGCAGGAGAACAGCATGATCTCATTGTATGATGGGAGGGGAAAATTTCCAACAGAATCCTTTTCATTGCAGAAATTAATTAATCAAGACATATGTGATGTGCGCGACAACTGTTTGAGTGAACACACAAAGGGAAACCTGTAGGTGCCTTCAAAAACACTAACAAATGATATATTAAAATGTATCAGTCCTATAGCTAAGCTGCTAGGTCTTTAAGGCACAGAGATGATTTTTATAAACATGTGAAAAGAAGAGTATGGTGATTAATGGTATTCTGTTCTGCAAAGGAACCATCTCATAGCAGCAGCCAGCATCCGGATTAGATGGGGACCGTATCTTCATTTGATGTTTTCCAGGATGATAGCGATGCCTTGGCCTCCGCCAATGCAGGCCGACCCAACACCGTATTTTGCTCCACGCCGCCTGTCAATGGTGAGCATACAGAAAATCCAGTTGGCTGCTTTCTAAAACTTGGGAATTTATTTTGAAACGCGTGTGCCTCGAAACGTTATGCATCTTGAATGATTTTATTATATTCTGCCAACAGGTAACTGCAAATAACACTTAATGCCTATTTAATGTACCTAAGCAAATTGTTATGGGGAAGTCCAAACAAGAAATTAGCATAAAATACTGAATTAATCCCCAACATACACATTGACTTTGCTTAGAGAGAGAAGTGCTTTATCAGCCACCCCAAACCTTAACTGAAATGTGTGGGTCGTTTTAAACAGGTTTTTGCTTCAGTCACCTAACCCAGCAGAGCAGGTGAGTGGTGATACACATGCAGGTGTTATTTAGAGACTGACGCTACCGGAGCTCGTGCACCAGATGAGCAGTGATGCGTGCGCCAGAGGCCCCAAGAGGGTGGCCCAGGGCAATGGCACCGCCGTTCACATTGGTCTTTTCGGGATCCAGCCCCAGCGACTTGGCCACAGAGAGGTACTGCGGGGCAAAGGCCTCGTTCACCTAGGGGAGAATGTCCATACAACAGCAGATTATGGCACTTGGATCAGAGCTCACAGCATCTAACACAACAATGTGGGTGAGAAAGTGAAAAGTGTCGACCCTATGTGGGAATGTGATCCGGACTGGATGAGTGACCCAAATACATGTAGGATTAATGCTCGTACTATTAGATTCACACCTCCACAAGATCCATGTCCTTCAGAGAGAGACCAGCTTTTTTCAGAGCTTCAGTGATCGCTGGCACAGGACCTAAGGAGATATTTTACATAATTTGTTAATTTATTGTAACATTTTATATTACATACGTTGCATAAAATTAGTGTCAGAAATGTTTCTATAAAAAGCAGGTGCATCTTAGCCCCATGCAATAGCAAACTAATGATATTATCATCATCAGAATCATTTCAGTATTTTAACGGATCCTGTTGATCCTTTGTCATGTTTTTAGTTCTTCCCGCAGATCTCAGCCCTGCCCTCGCCACTCGCCACATGATCATTGTAAGCTGGGAATCACAGACTGCCTCAGCCCAGCAACATCTCTATAAACAGGACCAATTCTGAAAAGCAGTAATGGTCGAATGCTGAGCTTCATCACCAGTGCCGGTCATTTACCAATTCCCATGATGCTGGGGTCACAGCCAGATACATGATAGGCCACGATCCTGGCCAGAGGAGTCAGCTTGTGCTGCTTCAGTGCATCCTCACTGGCTATCACCACGGCGGCAGCCCCATCGGACACGCCCTGTCAACACATGTCAGTCAGCTGAACGCAAAGAAACCATGGCCATTGTCATTATGCTTTTAAACATTTAATTTTGCTTAAATTACAGCTATTACCACATAGCACTTTCTAGTGTTTCCCAATCCGGCCCACAGGGACCTGCAGGCAGCCCACATTTACGGGGGAGCTGGGAGGGAGCAAAAATGTAGACCGTCTGTAGGTCCCCATGCACCGGGCTGGGAAACACTGTTCTAGAGAATCTATAGAACCAAAAACATGCCCAAATTTATCATCTCGGCAGCATCATCAAGACTTCATTTTTCTGTGAGGAAATTACTCGCGGCAGCCTGCACGCTCACAGAGGCATTGGCGGCCGTCACGGTGCCACCCTTCTTGAAGACCGTTGGCAACTTGGCCATCTGCTCCAGGGTGGTCTGTGGGCGGGGGTGCTCGTCATGTGTCATGGCCATCTTGCCCTTTTTCGCCTTGACATCAATGGGTGCAATCTCAGCACCGAAATGGCCGGCCTCATGTGCTGTGCAAAAGGAGACAAGGACGCTACAATGAGCTCATCCTGCAGTATCGACAGAGGGCTTGCTAGCAGACCAGCGGAGCAACCCTCTGATCGACAAGTACTGCTATGGCTGAATTCAGCATGTCTTATTTCTTCCACAGGGATGACAAGGCAATTTCCTTGAGAAACACAAATTCTAGGCAATAATCATTCAATATACTTCATATTCCAAACAATAATATTGAAGCTCATGCAAAACAATAGTAGTGTGTGTATAATAGAGTTAATTCTTTATTTATACAAAATATCAATGCCAAAACCCTCATGATGCATGAGAACAGGAGTCATGCCTGATTTCAGTCTGAGATTTATCCCATCATACCGAATTAGATTCAGGTTTGTTGGCCAAGTATGCTGGCAAACAGAGGCAATCTGACTCTAGGTGTCAATGGCTCACAGGTGTGCTTGCATGACAGCTCAACTCACACACATACAGGAGATACATACACAGTATGCATTTCATTCAGCAAGATACTGTCACCTGGTTTTTGCTGAATTGCTACAGTTCCTGTATGGAACCATAAAGCCCTATCAGCAATCACTGTCGAACCCAGGTGACTATGAAAGAAAAAGCGGTGCTCACCCGCCTTCCATCTTTGCTGCGTCTGGTACGCATACGCATCACACTGCTCCCGGCTGATCTGGTACTTATCGGCCAGGTTCTCAGCCGTTATGCCCATGGGGGTTTTCACGTGCAGATCGGTAAGCCCCGCCCACAGCGTGTCTTCCAGCTGACAGACACAGGGCAATAGTCAACAGTGTCTTACATTATCTCATTTTCTAAGCTCTGGATGCTAATTTGAATCCCCCCCCAATCACCCCCAGGAACGGACTTTAAAAAATGGAAATATCAATATTTAATTCATGTTTAATCTTTGGTGCTATTTCTGCACCACAAAAAAGGTTTTCAGTTGGTCATGCTTCACATTTCTGCGATTCTATAACAGCAGGGCTACTGTATCCGTAAGCCTGCCTCAAACAGACTGCAGCTCAGTATAAAGATTTATTGTGACATGCAGTATTATTAGAGGAAACATTCCGACAGGGCGTTTGCTCACTTCCCCCGAAACGGCAGGGATAATGATGAAGCCCCAAATTCAACGCTGAAGCTGTCACGCACCTTAAGGTCCAGGCCGAACTTGGTCCCGAAGCGGATGTTGCGTACAGCATATGGGGCTTGACTCATGTTCTCAGACCCACCACACAGGACAACCTCCGACTCCTTCAAGCAAATTTCCTAGTGGATAGAAGAGTAAACTGCAGATTAAGTATGATTATGAAGCAACATGCGTTTTTTTCCCCTCTTGTGTGCCTTGGTGCTGTATCATGATGGTAGAGATAAAAAAAAAAAAAAACAACAGAAGAAACAGTAACACCCTGAAGCACCAAGCATCCGCACAGAGCATCTCAACAAGGTTCCTCTGAGCTAAAACCACAAGGCGTGCCAACGTTCTGTCTACCTGAGCACCGTTGATGATGGACTGGAAGCCTGAACCACAAAGCCTGTTGACGGTGAGAGCTGGGGCAGGCACAGGAACACCACACCTCAAGCCCACGTGACGTGCGATGTAGGGGGCGTCTGCAGAGCTCTGGGGAGGGAAGCGGAAAAACATTCACAGGCCACAGGTGTAGGGCTTTGAATACAAGCTTCAGAGCAGTAGCACCAAACAGCAAGGTCATCAGAGCAGCTGAGCTAGTTACATATGGATGAAATCTACCACAATCCACTAATTTTCTGCCAGTGAAGTCATGCCAATCAGTTACAAAATGGTCAAATTCAGTGTAACTCCTGTCCAAAAGGGTTAGCGTGCTTTTTGAAGTGTATATCAGCTTTCAAAGCGAGGAATACTGGATAAGCTCCAACTGTAATAAAGGTCACATGACACGGCTGCTGAGAAGAACATGGTTTTACACAACATACACTGTAATGTTAAATGTCTACTGTAGAAGGTAACTAGCTTGACAACCACATTTACAAGCAAGTGGTAACATAGATGAGTGTTGCATAAATCACATAAATAGCATCAGTTATACACAAACAGCTAAGCACTCCAGGAATTGTGAAATAAACAAATAAAATGTTTTTAAATTATTGAAGTATTATGAATATAGTATTAATATACATTGTAACTAGTTACTGCCATGTAATGTATAAAAAAGCATTATGAACACTGATCAACGATGGCCAATTACATTCCCTTTATACTGTATTAGAGCTGTCCGATACAGCAGGTAGTACATGTGTATCAGTCAGAAGTCATTGCATTTGACAATCAATCATTTTCCATAGTGAAGGAGGGGCGATTTCATTGGTTAGTTCACTGTGTATAAGCTCACTACAGTCTCCCAAATAAGGGCAGCTTCCCAATATCTCACTGCCTGTATTATATGTAGTGGCTGCTACACACCAACACACAGGACCTCTAGAAGTAAAGTCACCAACATCAGCTTCATTACAGATGGAGCTCAGAAGATTAGGAACCTGCCTACTACAGGAAAAAACTTATCTGAAGTCTTGAGTTCCATGTTTTCAGCACTGTGTGTCCTGCTGTCCTTTATTGATTGATAAAGCGTACATTCAGCCACAAAGAGCATGGCAGGGTCTCACCTGCATGACATTTCCCATAATGACACTGTTGATCAGCTCGGGGGCCAGGTTCCCGGCAGCCAGCGCGGCCCGCGAGGCGTGCTCCGCCAGGTCGGTGGCGCTGTGATCTTTCAGGAGCCCCCCATACGTACCAAAGGGAGTGCGTTTCGCAGACACAATGAACACACCTGAACATGTTCAAAACCCACATATTCAGTTATTACTCAACTGCAAATTTTCTGTTGCACCAATAATAAAAGTTTTGCAGTAACCTTCCAAAACAAGGCAATCACAACCATGACAAAAATGCGTGATTTATCGCTTCTAACATACTATTGTATACTATATGCGGATTTAGCATAATCTCTATCAGATTTCGGATAAACATCTGTTTTTTTCAGCTTATGTTCGTCTCCTCGCTACAACGTTCAAAATCTTCCGAGCAATATCACAGTGAATAGGAAAGTGCTAACACATTCATTACCTTCAATCTCCGCATCTCATTAATTAATGTCATCTTATTACCTATTAAAACATTCCTGAGTGATACTTTAAACACAGCAATCACACTTGCTTACTAAAAACAATACATTAAATATACTGGTTTATACACCGAGCAGACATGAATGCACTTCCAAATAACAGCTTTTGATTTGTCAGTAAATATATATATTTTTAAAAAAAAGTAAAACATACTTTGATCTAAATATTAATCGTACACAATAGTGATTCATGTATTTCTATTCAGTATAACATCGCACCGGCAAATATTAATATGTGCGTTGTAATAGATACAACAACAGTAGGTTTTAAGCAAGTACGCTAAAGTTTACTTGCCTCTAATGAGCGACATGCTGCTGCTTCCAGCGCCAATTTCCAAAGGTCAGTGCGTCTGCAGGCTCGGCCGCCACATCTAACAGACTGTCAATAGTGCGACCTTTCGCCTAGATACAAAAACCAGCTCCACATTGGTAATCCAACATTCGCTTTATATGACAATATAACGGCAAGTTTTAAAAGGTGAGTCATCTATATCTGCCATGTTAAGCTGAAACCTCCAAATGAATTTTAAATGGTATTTTTTTTTATAACTTAATAATTTGGTTGATTTTTTTGGGCCGCTCTTTGGGACAACAGAAAGTGCTGCTGCGTTTTATACAATTAATATACCATGGCAGTCCGAGCGTTCTTTTGAAGCGTTGTACCGAATGTGATCTCTTGTTTTCCTTATATGATCCGGCATTTATTATACAGTGCCGAAATGATTATAGAAATAAGGTGATCGGGAAGCGCTTCAGTATATTTTATTTAAGACGTTAAACCAGAATTTTGTAAATATGTATCTATTAAGGGATTTACTAACTAGCTAATCCCGTTCGTTAGCGCTAGTTTAGGTAGGTTATGTGGTTTTATTTTAGACAGCAAAGTAATAATAATTTAAGAAAAAGTTTAAATGGTGCTTTGATCATGTCATTGTACTATCTAGGCAGTTGATATCGTACGTTAGTTTTATAAATTTGATCTTTATTACATTGTGGTCGATGATGAAATGGCTACTGCGCTATATCTGATATATTCTGATGTCGCAGCTGCGTGATAATTTCTCTGAGATCACGGCGAAACTGTAACGGGGGATGATAAAGTAATTTAACACTCCAAATCCCCGCTTTGAAAAACTTAGGAGTACATATTAAAATAATTGTAGGAGCAAGGTCATTTTAAAACCCCATCCCTTTGACGTTGATGCAGGGATTTTAGTGTTGCAATGGACGATATCATACATTAAGGCCCCCCCTGTCAAAAGTCGACTTTATATTTGAACAGCTTATGTAAAAGTCACCCCCGGTTCTGTTGCTTCGTTCTTCTTAATTGGATAAATTACAGGAAATTTTACTTTGAGAAGTTCATAGTATTGCAACATTTCTATTGAGTATGACAAAATCTGTGTGAAAGTGAACAATTTTCACCATAATCTGCGTACTATAGCTGACTATTGCTTTAAATACAGTATGACATACTTTAGTTGATTGAAATTCAATTAGAAACAAATTTCTAACACCAAAAAAATCATTAAAAAGGTTTACTTGTGGGCCCCAAGTAAAACGTACTGACTCATGGTCGAGCCTCTTTGACTTTGTTGTTTTGTGTTCTTAAATTCCAGCAGGCAAAACCATGCAATTCCTTAAAAAAAACTCAGAAAGATGTCTGATACTTAAGAGCCAAATTGTGTTTCTATGGCTGGAACTGGTTTACAAGGTTTTTGTTTCCTTTATGCTTTTCGCCAGATTGTTAGATATATGATGCTGATCACAGAACGAAGATTTTTCACATAAGGTTTGTGAGCCCATTTTGTTATAATTGTCATAAAATGTTTAAAATACAGGTTTTCCACATAACACTGCTTAAATATTTTCACGGAAAGAGTATCTTATGTACTTTTTATGTTGATTTAAGAAATGTGCTCAGAATTTTGATGTCACCCATAGTTTTCCACTGATGTCATTTTTAGGCTATATTGATAGTAAATTCCCTGTTAAGAATGTAGGGGTATTTTTAAGAGTAATTTAGGAAAAATGCTTTTATTTCTATTTCTGAACATTTTTAGGACTTTACAGAAGGGCACAAAGTACTGCAAGTCTGTTTTGCCAGAGTTTACAGGCTGTAACATGTTTGGACATGTTGAGACAGACAGCATCCTGTTCTCTCTCTGATACGGAAAAACGATATCAAGGCAAATGGAGCCCCAGTATGCTTACCGACTTATGCTGGACCCTTAAGAGAGATGTTCTTGTGGCCAAGTACAGCATCTCACAATCACACACTTCCACATGCACATATATCGTAAATATAACAAGGTTTAACTCTGTGTCACTCAAAAGCCTTGCATGAAAGGTAAATTCTGATTAGATATTTGAATTCAGCATAAACAATACTGTAAGATCCACCTATTTTGATTTGTGTAACAAAAAAAAAGTAAATTTATTAACCAATATAAGGTTTGCCATTTTGAACGTCATAATTTCAATTGTTACTTAATTATGTAATCCTTTGAATTGATCTGTTAAAGTTAGAGAAACATCTTAAAAACTAGTCTAATTCTTCCAGCAAATTACTAATTTGTCATTCTAAATGGCAGGAATGAAAAAGTGTTTTTGATGATTGTGTTTATTGGTCACTGCTGTAAATACACAATTTGCATCATTCATGACTTGAAGGTTTAAACCCTGCACCAAAATATATACAAACACTCAAATGTATTTATAGTGAGAAACCACATTTTATAACTTTTTTCTGCTCTATAAAAACTGGAAAACAAAACCACATCTTTAGGTGACCTAAAAGAAGATTTAGTCCACTGGATTTAGAGATTATGAAAAATAAAACTGAAAAAATTTTGTCATTAAAAACACAGAAGGTAAAGCAGTACATCATATAATTTACAAATACGCCAATTCCTGTGTGTTTAAAGCAGGAGGATCTTAACATTGTGTTCATTACTGAATTCAACATTAAGAATCATATCTAAACAGATCCCACCTTCAATCAAACTTGTAAACTTAAATGTTTCAAGCACTTTTGCGAGTATTGCAAAGAAATATGCTATGCAAAGGATTACGAGTTAATAAAAGAGAAATTTGGTCTTTTCAAACAGTAACAAAAAAATAAATCATTTAAATTAGCCTACACCTACACACACTCAATCTCAAATGTTGTGCCCTTTTGAATGAGTTACTTCTACGTCTGCTATTAATACTACTATAAACAGCTGAGTTTCACCTGAATGTCAATAATTACCACAGGGCATGCTGGGAAATCTCTTACGGAATGGCAGTCTTGTAGCAGCAAAAACATAATTAGTAATAGAGTTTCATTTAAGTGAGCATTTAGCAAATTGTCAGTAGGGAAAACTGAGTAATAAGTCATATTTCTATGGGTAAAAATATAAAATGAGGACTTTTCCCTCCAATCACGTTCACCCCCCAACCCCCAGTACACCTTTAAAATACATGAACACAAAATATTATACTCATGGCTAACACAGTTAAAAGACCTCTATCTCTTAATACACAAGTTTGTTCTTATGCATCTCTGTAAAGACACAGTAACAGCCAACTGAAGCCTATTATTACAGTATTCTTTTGGTGGAGAGAATGCTGCTTTTTATTAGCATGATATGGGTCTGTTCACAACAAAAGCTTCAGGGATCATAGTGTATTTGCTGGAATAATTCTTCAATGGCATGTTAAGAGATGCAAGGAACATTAAAATGGAAATGGGAAAAACAGTGGAAAGAGTCCCTCTTAAGGAATCATTTAAGAAAAACTAGAATGGAAAGGTGTAACATATATAGGAATATACAAAGTCCATATAAAAGCACATTCATGGTAACATACTTTGGAATTATTTCTACACAGAACTATTTGCTTATGGGAGATCTTAATCCAAACATTCAATTTATATTACTTATTTTTTTGCTTTTAAATGCCTTGTAAATTTCTGACTAAAAATAAATAAGAAAAATGCCTGACTGGCCCGTGAGTAGGCAGGAACATAAATGATCAGATGTAATCTTTATAGGACCGGAACAACAGCGGATAACACAAGCTTGAGGATACAATGTTACAATGTTATCAACAAGGAAAGACAAGGAGAGAATTCAAGTGCATTATGTGTTTGAATCACTGGCTCAGCAGAGATCAAAGAACCATACTGACAATGTAATATTTACAATGATAGAAAACTACCGCCTTGCACAAGACAAAATGGGTTAGCCCATGTAATCAAGTTCTTTTTTTGTTTTTATTGATTTAATATATATTTCATTAATCACTTCAACATGAAAGGCAGATGACTGCATTTGAGATCTTCACCTTCCACCACCAGCTCAGAAGGCTAACATGCTCTGAGAATCTGTACGTCTCATGTGATGTATTATCTTCTGTCCTGGGAGTGTGATTCACTACCTTGCACCACTGGACTACAGTTTTCCATGATCCTCCGGCATCTGAAATGTGGCTCATGGAAACAAATCCCTGTTTTGATTACTGCCTCTTGTCTGGTGATTGTCTCAGAAACAGTGAAACCAGGCTGCTCTTGGTCATTGTAATGGAAGCAGAAGGGCTTTCAAGGTCCATGTCAGAAGAGGGCTTTTGAGCCCTGGTTCTCAAACTCTGACCAGGCATCATTCAGCTCCATGAAAATCATTTTGGCATACAGTTCGTAGGGTAGTCCTGCCGCCTTCAAGAAACAGCAAAAATGTACATATAAATTACAGAGCTTCATCTAAGAATAGAAAATTGGCAATACATGAACTACAGATTTCAGGGTGAAAAAGTGTGACAAAGAACGTGAAACATGGTAAATATAACATGATTAGCAGTTCACCCCTCTAGCATAGTTTTAGCTGAGACTGTAGGAGGGCCAATGATTGTGTATCTTTAGCAACAAAAAGCACCAACTGCAATACACTCATCAATGGCAGACAGCAGCTAGTGCAAAATTTAAATATGCAGAAGACAACAATTCCAAAACTAAGATCTGAGGACCCAGGCTCAGAAGTACTGATATTTATCATATTACAAAAAGCCATAGCTACCTTGTCAGGATGGACCACAAGTACAGCCTTCCTGTAGAACTTCTTTACTTGGTCTGGGGTGACGAGGTCAGCCATGCTCACGGGCTTCCATCGAGTCTCACCCTCCCAGAGGACAGTGTGGAGTGTTGATATCAGAGCCCGGATGTTCCGTTCCTTCCCTTCGATCCATTCCAAGATCTATAACAACAATCAAAAATGAAAAATGCTATTAAATGTTCTTCTTAGGGGAAGTTATCTAGCAGGGACAAATGAGGTCAAGAAGGTTTGCCCTTTAATAGCTGGGCTGAAGTGGGTCTGGAAATGAATTTAAATTCAGCAAGATGCCACTATTCCACCTCACTGTTCTATGAAATGTCATGTTTCACTGCAAAACCACAACTAGGAAATGTACAGATAATCAGGTCTGCAGAGAATGAACACTGCAGGGTTCAACATACAGCCCATTGCAACCCTTTGGATAAAAATGAGAGCAACATTATCAAAGCCAGGTGTAGATTAGTTATGCTATCATCTCATTCACATTCCACCCAGAATTCAAATCAGTGACCTGCAGTTTCTGAGGGTCCATATCCTTTGAGAGCTCCTGTTTCCGCATCTCCGCTATGGTCCTCGGACCCCTCTTGTCTGGTTTGGAGGCAAATCCCTGGTTTGACAGGAGGTCCTCAAAATCATCTTCCTTCACTACAGGCTTTGGACCTGTCAGTTTACATAAAGGAAATCCATGAATTTAGCAGACACTTTTGTCCAAAGAGACGTAGGAGTGAAGATCAGAGATCAGGATCAGACAGTGTCCCTGGAGCCATTAGGGGTAAAGGCCTCACTCAAGGGCCTGGTGGTGACGTCACTCTGCCAGATACGGCATTTCAGTCAGTGACCTTCCAATGACAGACACGGCATTTCAGTCAGTGACCTTCCAATGACAGACACCGCACTTCAGTCAGTGACCTTCCAATCATAGACACAGTCAGCAGGGCCACACACCCCCCCCACACACACCCCCCCCACACACACCATCAATCCTCCAGAAACTCTGCCATAGGTTTGGGGAGACGAGACTATGCCAGCAAAGCTGGCCACTCAGTTCGGCTGCCTCCTCACCAAAGCTGGGGCCCCTGAGGCCCCTGTCCTCGCGGCCTCCGATCACGCTGAAGGTCAGGTTGTAGTTGGGCTTGGCGGGCTGTGCTTTCGGGGGGGCACTCTGTGGAGCCCAGGGTTTCCCGGGGCCGGGGGCAGCAGGCCGGCTCGACTGCCACTGGGTTCCGCTTTTTGCCGATGGGGCGGGTTTGGTGTTGAAACTGGGACCCGAAAAACCAGCAGTAGAGGAAGCAGCAGCTAGACACCAACAGGAAAACAGGATAGGTTTTTTAAAAAAACTCATTATTTTACATTATAAAAACATACTATGTAGTCTACATATGACTATAATTTGATATCCTGCCCAGGGAACCCATTAGTCCTCTGAAATACTGATTTATACAGTTTGGTGAATTATATCTAGTTCTTCAAATACTGTGTATTTTTTATGCAAAATGCACCACATTTTTAATAAAATATGTTATAATCAGGTCTACAGCAAAGTGCCACAGCCCACCTCAATCTGCCACAGACTTTGACTGGTGACTCACCAGGCATGGTGGAGCCCAGGCTGCCCAGGTCAGCAAAGGGGTCAAAGCTCTGCGACTTGGTTTTCGAGAAAGAGGAAATTCCAGGGGCTGGAAGGCAGATAAAATATCTGTTACCTTATAAGACCTCAGACACAGGTTATATATAGACTACCTGTCCATCCTTCCATGCACAGACAGTCGTATCAGAACACCTTCCAGTTCTGCTTCCACAGACCCAGGAAAAACCCTGTACCTATGAACTGGGGCTTGCTGGACGGGCCTGACTTGGCTGCGGTGCTGGTGCTGCTCCCAGTCCCGCTCGAGCCCCAGCTGTCCCAGCCCCCCAGCAGATCAGGCTGGCTGGCCGACGAGGTCATCTTAGTTGGCTCGTTCGTCAGCTTATCTGTGCAGGAACAGCGAAAATCCACGTCATGCCAACAGCATCACATAGGGCACTCCACCTGGATCTAACACCCGTCGCTTACATCCTGTGCGATGTAGCACACAAGAAAGCAGCTCTCGCCCCAGTATCTGGTTAGGATATAGATTTCAATACCAAAATGAATGAAACTTGCACCAACAGTTCACATGATTTTGTTTGACGATCAGCTAACGTCTCTCTGAATGACAATAATATTCAAGTTCCAAAAGAATAAAGCCCACCATTGCCATAACTTCTGATAATCAGCGGCAATGTTTACCACCACTCAACCTATGCGCCCCCTGTTGGCCCCAAGCAGTCAGTACACTAAATATTAAATAAACACATTCCTTATTTAGGAGATGTTAAAACAGAAGTTCTGATAGCTAGCTATGATCTTCTACTCGCTAGCTATCTTTGTAATTTTTGAAATATCTGAGGGGGGCAAGGGACCCCAATGTGATTTTTGTGAGTGGGGGCCCAGAAGCAACAAACCTGCCCCAGCTGATAATATCAGGACAATTAAAAAAGGGATTCCTGATACACATCACAAGCTGGTTTAAATTCAGTGGTTTAAATATTAAATAGTGAGCAAGGTTCATCAGGCACTTGTTCAACGGCATTCCAGCAGAGCAGGGGACAGGGGCGGCCGTGCGGGGGGATGAGGAATGAGGGACGAGGGATGAGGAATGAGGAACGAGGGATGAGGAATGAGGAACGAGGGATGAGGAATGAGGGATGAGGAATGAGGGATGAGGAATGAGGAAGGGCACGTACTGAGGTTGAAGAATCCTGAGACGGAGCTGGGCGGTGGTGTCGGGTTGCTGGCTGGGACGCTCGGGGCAGCATCTTCTGCACTCAGGAGGTCCCCAAACAGGTCTGGCTCGGAGTGCAGGGGCGGTCCCATGCCGAACGGGTCGAACAAGTCACTGGCTGGGGGGGGGGGGGGGGCAAAGTGACATCCAAGGTTTCATTTCTGCTCCATAAGGGGAACCTGGCGACCTTCAGACTGTACAGACCTCACAATCTGGTTTTTGTGAGTCTGACTTTAGAGTGTAAAGCACAGAAGTTCAGCAAAACCCTAAAGGCTGGACCAGTGACACCTAGATGTGCCACTCTGTGTCGTACTTGCAGTCTAGAGCCTACATTTTCTGTGTCTATATCTTTATATGCTAGCTAGATAACTAGCCAAGTTTCAATTTTAAAGTCGGGTCAAGATGATTACAATAAACTAATAATCATTCGGACATTTCTCAGATTATTGCAGTTAATTGTTTGCCATTGTTTTTTAACCATATATTGGTGCTATAACATGGGATTAATGATACAGTAACTAATCATTTAGGCTGGCTCTGGAACCATTGTTTTTTATATCATAGACTCAGTGGCCATGTTCAGGGGTGCTGCTAGAGATTCTGGGCCACATAAAAGCATAACACATTGGACCCCGAACCTGGCCACATTATTAGGTATCCCTAGCTAGTTCCAGGTAGGGCCCACTTTCACCTCCATAGCTGCTTCAGTGGTAGATGAACTGCGTGTTCAGAGAAGCCTTTCTGTTATATAGGGCTGTTATTTCTGCACTTATCTTCCCATTAGCTTTAATGAGTCCATTCACCTATGACCTCTCTCATCAACTCATCACTCCATTCTCTAACTTTTAGCCATCATAGCGCATGAAAATCCTGGGGGGGGCGGGAGCTGTTTCTGAGATGATGGAACCATTACATGGGGCACCAGCAATCACGAAACATTCAAAATCGCTTTGGTCACACAGCTTAGCTGCGCTAAAGCTTAGCCACACAGTAGCTGAGCCTCTCCAGCCTTTCTGCGGCCACATGATTCGTCATCTGCTGGAGCAGGCTGTTTGCAAGCCTAATAAACCAGACCCTGTGTGTACATCTCCATATAACAGCCAATGACCTGTATATTTGTTCTAGAAGAATAATCAATTCATCTATTCTGGTTCATCTCTGACCTCATTCCTGCTTAGAGAGATAGTGGAAAATGCTGGAATATTACTTAAGTGAATACAGGTCACTTAAATGTGACTGCAGATTGAACAGAAGTGATGGATGCACTGTGACTGCTGCAGATACTTACATTTGGAAGTTGTGGGGGCTGTACCAGCTGCAGGGGGGGGCTGGATGTTCCCAGAGGGGCTGCTGAAAAACAGATCTCCCTCCACACCTCCTCCGATCAGGTCGGCGGTGCCAGCAGGGTCAACGCGGGCGGCCGGGGCAAAGAGGTCGTTGAGGAGGTCGCTGTTGCTCGATGAGGTCTTCATACCTCCGGAGGCAGGGGGGGGTGCCGCTGGAGCCAGGGGCTCGGAGTTCAGGCCCAGCAGGTCCACGCTGTCATTGTGGCCCAACTCAGGCGGCTGGGGTGCCGGCTCGGCCGTGAAGAGCGGCTCGCTGGGCTCCCGGGAGAAGGGCTGGCTGTCCTCACTGAGGTCATTGCTTCCCGGACCCGGGTACGAGCACGGCTCCTCCTCCGAGGGGTCGCTCAGATCGTGGTCTTCCGCTGGACTGTCTGGCTTTTCCTGATGCTCAGTCCCATCTGTGGTGGGAAATGGGGAAGAATTGTGGAGTTTGACAGGGGGGGAAAAAAACACAGGAATCAAACAAAGCAGAGAGTACTGGGGGGGGGGGAGACTTTAAAGCCTGGAGAGAAACGCTGAGACAGAAGCCTGCGCAGCTGCAGCAGGAAAAGCAGCAGATGTGACCATGCATGTGCACCTTATTTATAGCCCTGCTGAGCAGCGTTACCCAAATCTGAAGGGGGAATACAGTCAGAAATTACCAGTAAAAACCAGCAGAACAACAGTAATGTGACAAACAGTCTGGGGTGGCTTTCCTGAACTAAGTAGTTTGTTATCTAGTACTTTAGATTAGCAATCAATCAGCACGCGTTTCCTGAAACCCTTCGTAACTGAAGTAGTTCTCATTCGTAGATTTACGAGGGCTCCGACCCACTCCTTATTTTCTACGTTGATCTTTATTTGCACTTTTGCCTGCTATATGAACCAAATGCATATTGTTAGAATAGGCTAAAATGGTTACACAATTTTTATCTTACAATCATACAAATATAAAGTTTACTCACTAGTGCACATATAAGATGATAATCTACATAATGAGCTAATCAAACTTGCTATGTAATCAGTCATATCTTTTGAACCGCACGACCAGCAACGGCAGAGAATTGTCAAAAGACGACAGCTTTTGAGATAACGTCCTCTAGGACGTTGCTTTTGTGGGTGGCCATGAAGCCCTTGGGGCATCTCATTAATGAACAATCAGCTGGCCTGGGGTGAAATAATGAGCCTCCTAGGTCTGGTGCTGGACAAATTGAAAAAAGGAACAGACAGAATTTTGCCCTCAGTGCACCGTGCAGCTTCTGAAAACTCTCTGCTTCTATGCCACTGAAGGATTCCTGCAGACCTACAGATGCACATGGCTATCCTAGTGGGCTAGGAGTACACATGATGCTTATATCTGTCCAGCTTTGGAGTGTGTCAGATGGCAAAGGATGGTGTGTTTGCTGGTGGCTGATTAGTGTGCTGAGTATATTCATTAATTCTGGAATGACAAAGGTTTTTGGGAAACGCACGTAAATTCACTCATTCTTTACCTACATCATTCTTCATCTTGTTCATTATTCACCAAGATCGATCACTTTTGGGAAAGCCACCCCTGAACTGATTTTCACCCTCAGTGACAAAACTCAAAAAGACCAAACTCAGCAAAAACTCTGAATGCTGTTCACACCGACCTGATAAGCTATTAGCATGGAGGTATTTTAAATACAGCTTTTAATGAGCAGCCTGCTAAGTTACTGCACATAGCTGCTTAGTTACTGCAGTAGTGTTCAGCAGCTGGACATCCCATAATCAGCACTGGAACGGCTGCTCACCGTCCCAGTCCAGGGTCTGGAAAAAGTTGTTGGCATTGGTGTCCATGCTCTGCGGGGACTCCGGCTCCGTGGTGGAGCCCTCGGGAGTCTGATCCAACTGGGGCGACTCTGCGTCGTAGAAGGCTGTGGATCCGGGCTGACGTGGGAGCTCTGGTTTGCCTGGGGGTACAGATATGGCCATCAGTCACCTGGGTCCCGCTAGCCATCTCCACCACAGGTCAGATTACTGCCGACACATTTCCTGTAAGTCCAGTAGAGAGGCTAGCATTCGGAAGGGTGCTGCCATTTGTTTAGGCGTTTTACTGGGCAGAGTGGGCTTCATTTGAGCAAAGTCACATCAGTCTTGGGTGTTTTCCAGAGAAAGTTTAACATGTGTGGCCAGTCTTTTCTTCCCAGACTGGGGTCACTATTCTGACTGATTGTAGTACTAAAGAAATAAGATGACACCACCTCAAGCAAAGAAGCTATGTAATCTCTCACAGCTCACCAAACTTGGCGAGAATCTCCTGCTGCTCTTCCCGGCTGGAAAAGAGGATCTTGGGATTAAGGCCCTTGGTGGCAAAGTTCTCCCAGGGCGGCGTCCTGTGGCTTGGCCGATCTCTCGGCTCCACCTCCACCTCCAGGTTGACCTGGAAGAGATCTGGGTACTTCTCCTGGATGTCGCAAGCGTCCAAGTCATACCTGTTAAGAGACGGACAATGGAAATTTGTATGTATCCCCCAAATGGGTACAAACAAATCCACCACCAAATTGTTAAAACAAGTTCTTAATTTTGATATTTTAAATTTTAACAAATGTCATATTAACTCTTCTGGAGTTCCAGTTAAACTCAAACGCTTCTGACTTATTAGATAATGATTTCGAAACATAACATATGTCAACATTAGCAGCATAACTTTGCTAAGTGTAGTAATATTCTGAGGGGCATTTGCAGTATTTATTATGCTCTAGATTTAAAAAGAGCCCATTATGTTACGCTGTTACCATGACTGACAATCAATATGCAGACTGACTTGATTGCATTTGTTAATTAGGAGCAATGCAGCCTATTTGGAAAATCATATGTATGAATTAAGTTGTGTGAAAGAATAATATAACATTCTGCTATTCTTAAGAGCTGAAGTGGAATTGGCAGTATTAGTTTTGGCTGCAGCAGAGTGGAGCAGCACAGCACTGCTGACGAGGCACGCGAACAGTAGCAGTACACACTTGGCAAATTTGACAGTAGTTGCATTTCTGGGCACGAAACCTGTGTGGAACTGGATCTGGAACATCTTCATGGAGGCCATCTGCAGGACGACAAACATTACACATGCGTGTGAGGGCCTTCAGCTACTCAGACCCGGCCTCAGGTTACATGATTCTTTATTGATTAACTAGAGCAGTGTTTCCCAGTCCAGTCCAGGACCTGCAGACAGTCCATGCGTTTGCTCCCTCTGCCAGGGAGCTGGGAAGGAGCACGTGGGCTATCTGTGGGTCCCCGAGGGCCGGGCTGGGAAAGCTGAACTAGAGTATAAAGGTAAACAGCAGGGCTGGGAATCGGCAGTGACCGGCCAAATCGGCATTATAGCAATACACGTTTGCCGATTTGATATGCACCTCAATTTTTAAACCAATTTTGCTGAAAAGCATTTCAGGTCTACGTTTAAAGTAAAGACAAGGACTGTAATGGTACACTTGGTTACAATTTCTGCCTTTCAGTTACAGTATTTTCAGTTTGGAACGCTCAATGAAACAAATTCATACATTTCTTGACAAGCTCCTCAACATGGAAAACATACTAATTGAGCCTTTGAGTTGGTAATAACTAGTGCTAGAGAGCTCAAAGACCCTCCCACATCACATAAATCAGTAGTTTGGGAACATTTGGACTTTCCAATAAACCTGCCAAGAACATAGTTGATAAAACTAAGAATGTCTATTGGCTCCGTTATATTGAACTCTCAAATTTTTCTGGAAACACATCCAACATGCTAACTCATTTTACTTCATCCCTGTATGTGCTTCTGCCAGGAAATTCATACCAGGCTTTAAAAAAAAAACAAAAAACTAACACTAAGTTCACACTACATGATTTTACAGCCCGCTTTCTAAAAGGTTTTGGTCATCACCGACAAAAGCCTCAGATTAGAAGCCAACCAGTGTCTACTTGGTGCTTGCAAATCAGCGCTCAATCACTATTAGTTCAAAGATGCAGCCAGACAGAGTTGCCGATGCGTCCTAATCGCTCGTCAGATATCTAGCATGCTTTCTGGACCTGCTGGCAACACCAAATCCTGTAGTGTGAAAAGTATCGTGACTGGCAACGAGTGTGACGACGAGCTGCAGCTGAAGAAAGTGCAAGACACGGGTGAGGTGAAACCCGAGGTAGGAGTTTAAAAAAGGTGCAAACTGTTCAATTTGTTTAGAAACTGTTCTTAATGTTTAGAGATATTCAGTGAAAGTTTACATTTCACACATTTGCGGTTAGTCGTGGTTTCATACTGAGATTGTGCAGGAAAAGTCTCTGCACACACAGCACTGGGTCAGGCCCTAAACAGAATTAGGCTGCATGCAACTGGGAAAATACAATTTCACCAACCCATGTTTAAACTGATGTTTAGAAATCAATTTTTTAACTCTCACTGCAATATTAAAATCGGCATCGTGAAGAATCACAATTTGTAACAATCAATTTCCCACCCGCCCCATAGTAAATAGCTATTATTACAACCATGGGAATATATTTCATAAAATGAGGATTAAAGACATTAAAGGGGCAGGAGAAGACGCTTCCTTTAGCTACTATCATGACACGGGGGTGGTGCTTTATGAGGTTTGACAGCCAATAACACTGATCGCAATACTGCTGGATCTCAAAGTGGCCACAACAAGAGTGTCCAGGGACCTTCAATGCATATAAATAAAATGAAAGACGATGTCAGCCTTACCTTGGCCTGCAGCCGGCCTCCCAGGGTGGAGCGGGCATGGTAGATGACAATGAGCACATCTCCCTGCACTGTGACCCCGAGAGGGATCTCCGCCCGTCCATCCTCGATTTTAAAGTCCCTGTGAAGACAACGCGTCCCATTAATAAACACTATGGCCATCTTCACTTATGTTAAGAGGTACGCCGCTGACACTGGTCATTTAAACAGAAAAGCAAGTCACATCAACACTGACATTCTTGGGGTGGAAAAACTAAAAACAGTGCCAGGTCTTCATCACTGAGTCACAGCTGACACTCAGCGGTTCCTCACACACATGCGTCATCACACTTCGCAACCACTCCAAAGTCGTGGGCCTAAGCTGATAATTCTCCATGTGATGCACTCTTAAAAGGCCTTCTGGAATTTCCATTCTAAGCAAAATGTGGACATTCAAGGTCACAACCAAGGTCAAACAAGACCAGGAAGTCAAAGAAATGTCATCTTCCTTACAGCTGGTAACTAAGACTTATTTACAAAACATCTGAAACGGAGCATCGATGAGTCACTGGAGGCAGGCAGCTTCTGGCGGTGACCAGCACAACCTGACAGCTCCAGATTCGAGCAACAAAGTCCACAGGCCACCCAGGAGGCTTTTTCCATGATAAGGAACCAACTGACCCACAAACGAGCCCTTCAAAGGGAGGAATCGGAGAAGAGATGCAGGCATGTATAGGGATGGGACATTTCACATGAAAGGGCCATGAAATCAGGTGCTGCAGTGGGTTAGGGACTGAGCTTGTAACCCAAAAGCAACAGGCAACCATCTCAGAAGATGCTCAGTTATTGTATCCTTGAAAAACTAAGAATCTAAATCAGTGTGATCCATAACCAACTTCATGCAAGTCACACTGGATGGAAAGACAGATAATATAATAATATGATGTTCACAGCGTGTTTGCAGCACAGACATGGAGTGAGAATGGTTAACAGTGAAGATGGCCATCTCACCTCATGCGGTCGTACTCCAGCGAGGTGGTGGCCACACGCTCTTCGCCCACATACACCTCGCAGAATGGGCGACAGCCGTTGCGCGGTTTGTTGAAGAGCGGCACGGGCGTCATGACAACGGAGCGGATCAGGATGGGCTTGCTGTGCGGAATGATGGGCTCGTCGGCCATCATGTCACACATGTACTCTATGTACCTGGGGGGTAATTAGCATTTAATGCATAGAAGGCAATCTGATAAGCAGGAACCTACGTAGGATGAAAGAACTGGGCGGTGACTTCCGGATGAGCATGATTACTGGTGCTTGCTTTCTGGCACTGGCCTATACCAGGCGATGTCAACAAAAAAAGTGCAATATTTTAATTTAAAAAATATTGGGATAAGTGATACCACCTACACATATACATACGGTACCAAGAGTCAGTTTAATAATCCGGAGAAAAAAACATGACCAGGGGGACGACGACACTGACCTCTTGTGGGAGGGTGCGATTCCTGGGGGACAGCGCTTCATGCTGAACATGTAGACAGCCGCCTCCGCCGTAGTGAAGAGGCGGCAGAAGCACAGGAAGGAGCAGACAGCCACCGCGGAAGCTGCGCGGCCGTCCTGGGGGCACGGAGAGGGGGGGGCACAGGTCAGGGGGGCTCCAGGCAAGGGTCAGCACGCTCATGTGACTCTCTCTCACCAGACAGTGCACGATGCAGATGTTCTTCTGGTCCTGCTTCAGCCAGCCATGCATGCTCTTGCAGATGCTGTAGAGGTTCCTCAGGTTGGGTGCCCGTCGAGCCTGCCAGCCGCACTCGGACACCTGAGTACGGAAACAGCATTTCTCCACTAAACCGACTTGCATAAGCGAGACCCACAAAAACTCAGGAGAACGGTCGACTTAAATAGACTGATTCCTGCGGGGGGATTTTAATGCCTGCCCAACACAGATGCTAAAAATAACAACAACAACAATAATAAATACAACAATAAATGTATATTAAATATTTTTTTCATTAATTCAGACAGACACCAATAACTATAATCTGACGATTACCAAAAAGGGTTTAAATTAAGCAGCTGCAAATTAGAGTTGAACCAGTTTGCAATTTTAAAATACCGCTTAAAAGCTGTGTCAGTTGCATACGTATGAGAAACTAGTTGCATCTTCCATAACATCACAGCAACAGTCACCAACCAGCCGACTGCAGTGCACATCCGGACAAAACTCCATGGGGAGAACATGCAAATTACACAGTGAGGCCACTGGGGGGTTCAAACCCCCAGCCCAGGAGCTGCAGTGCAGACCACCAAGCCAGCCACCCGACACACCATAAAGCCAGGTTCCCCAGTTCCAATCCTGAAGGGTCACACCACAGTTTACGCATTTCCCTGCTCAAACCCACCTTACTCAGCTCATCAGCTAACTGCCAGCTTTAGCAGGAGTGTTCCAGCAGGGAAACCTGCAAATTGTGTTGCAGACTGACCCTCCAGGACCGGAATTGGGAAAAGCTGCCATAAAGCATTAAGTTTCATTAAAGGGCTTCCTTAACGCAACCGACACGTTCTAATGAGTCAACGTCATTCGGTCCTTCAGGGGCAGCGTGTTCCCAGCAGTGAAGCGTGACCTTACTCTGTTATGGAACCGGGACGGCCGGTACGAGCGCTTGGACAGGTTGTAGACGGCGTAGTGGCCCGCGTGCCGCGAGTCCAGGAACAGACGAACGTCCTCGATGTTATTCTTGATGGCTGACTCGACTCCTTCTGCTGGGAAGGACATGACTGCAACAGAGGTCAGGCGGTGTCAGCTTCAAAGGGAGGAGTCATTTAGGCCAAAATGCCCCCCAGGAAAAATACTATAACACCTTACAGCTTAACATTCAATAACCACAGAGGAAATGGCAAAAGGTTTTGCCACATTCTCACACTACATTAGGAATATAACTAAAAATATAAGTGAACTATTTGACAAACTATTGTCGTGTTTTTACATAATTCCCAAACACAAACATTATTGCGCCAATCAAATGCCTGTAAATCTGATAACCAACCCAATCCCTAATGATTTATTACTCTATTAATTCAGAGTTAATTACGGTTAGCAAACGAACCTGCAATTCTGGATGTAATATAGGAAATGTCAAGGTCCCCTTTGGCATAACTGTAGGAAGAGAAATGACATCAGTAAAACGTCGCCTTCGCTCTGTAGACAGAGGTCTCCCTCTGGGTGTTCCGCCGGGTCAGTGACCCTGGCACAGTCGCTACACTGTTGTCTAATTCTGGAACCCGTCCATCTTTATGTCATCCATCTGGACTGCGAAACTCACCAAGACATAGGAGTAGCCTGGCACCAGTGCCTGGCTTAACCTCTTTCTGCGTACTGATATTGTTAAAGGAAGTCAGATCTAGTGCACAAGGATGCTGCCATCATTATGGTAAGTCCGTCACACTGGTGTTTTGAGTGCCCAGAAGGATACAAATTCCATTATTTCAAGTTGTAAGTTTCATTCAAGGTGTGTCATCAGTTACCACAGCGGTTGATTAAAAATAAAAACAATTTGTTTGGTTAGACTCCTTTTACCAGCCTCAAACTTGATTTGTTGCATAGTGCAACATGAGTTAATAGATTACAGAAGTGCTATTAAAACACGCTTTTAGATAAACACAGTAAAGACAACAAACATGGCAGCCACTTTATTATGCTCGACGTGAAAACAGGCCCACGATTTGCTGATGCGAAGACAAAACAATGATTATCGACGTCAGACACAATCCCCATGTTTGTGTTTCCAAACAAAACAAGTGAGAGAGGGAGGGAGAAGACACAGGCAAAGCCGACTTCAGCACACAGCACGGGAGAGGGGTCACGCAGATTGTCTTCAGTCCACTACAAACCAACACAAACGAAGAGCATCCAGAGCCTTCATTTACCTTGGGCTGCTAGAGGATGAAGATTTAGCGCCATGAGGGGTGGTTGCAGTGTTGTTTGGGGTGGGTGGGGTGGGGTGGGGTGGGGTGGGGTGGGGGCAGAATAAAACAAAATGGACAAATAATAAGTTTGATAACCCAAGTCACATACAAATGGAGATGGCAGGAAGGACAGCAGCAAGTGAAGTAGGACTCTGAGCACCAGAATGACCAGAGCACCAGTCAGAATGACCATCTCATTATGATTAGCAACACCGTGAAAATACATACATGTGCAAGAAAAGGGGGTACTGCCACTTTGCAAGTTTTTTTTCTTTTATCTCCATTTATTATTTGAACAGGAAATTAATAACTATGACACCAGGTTAGGTAATCTGTCAATGCTTCTATTATAGACACCAGAGGCTGGAATCAGCTAATCCTGGCATTACCAGGAAAATCTCTCATATTTATCCATTTTCTTACACTCCCTCTCCTGGACGTAAAGCATCCATAGGATGCACTGATAAATTATGGGAAAAATAAAACAAGCTTTCATCTTTTTATCTAGTGTCATCTTATTTGCATATTTTTATTTTAGAATGACTACCCTGTCAATTAACAATCAAATTTTGCTCACTTCTAAGGGTGTATAACTGGCCCTGTTTATGTTGTACGAATCAACGCAGCTCACTTCTGCACAGAAAATGCCAGTATAGCCGGCACCAGTTAACGTGCCCCAAAATAAGCCAGTTCTCCTCAATTATCACAGCAAGTTGCACTTCTAATGTTAACCACAACAAAGGGAACTCATAACTCCTTGGCTGAAGATATGCACATTGTATAAAAACGTGACCTTAAACTGACAGTGCCATTATTCACACAAAAGCATGTCTGGGGCCACATGTTGATCAATGATAAAATGTATGTAAATTAATGCTTAGAGACCCATCATCAGGCATTTGAGACATGGGTACTTTAGAATCACAAGCCGAGTCTGATCCCTAATCTGTAGGGGTCAAATTACTGGCAGCAGAACAGCAACAGTTTGACTGATGCTTAAGGTGTGAATGCAGCATGAGGGGAGATGGGACCCTAACTAGAGCCAAGATGGCCATCTGCTTCAGGCTCTCCTCCTTGTGACTGTAGCTACAAGATGATAGATAGTAACTGCACTTTAAGGCAGACGCTTTTATTCTTAATTTCATCTAATGATTCCACGGCATGAGTGCGACTCACCTGGCCACTGACTGGATCATCTTGGACGAGGTGTCCTTGATGTTGGTTAGGAAGCGCTCTGTGCCGCCTTTCAGGATGTCCAGTAAGCCACCACTCATCGACTGGTCAACATTGGATCCATACAGACCTGGGTGGGATGAGGAGGGTTAGCACTGATGCTAAAGGCATAAACGCCACTGTCTGATGACAAGGCAAGTTTACAATAGGTAAGCACTTAGTGTTCTGTACATACTCACCATGTCAATATGCAATTAATACCGAAAGCGCCATTTTTTCCAAATAATGGAAGTTGTAACTATTATTTCACATTTTAGCAAGTGGGTTGACACAGGAACAAATTGGTTTCTTTAGGGATAAACATATAAATTACAACTGGACAAAAAGACTAAAGACCCAGATTAAAAAATGTTTTGTGTCTTTAGACATTAAAATAAAACAAAATTTATATCAGACAAAAGGACGTCTAAATAGATATAAAGTCAGCACTTGGCCTTACAGAGCATAGACTGTGTTAGTCTGAGAGCAACTAACAAGTAGGCCTGTCATGATAAATTTTGCTGGACGATAAATTGTCCCAGGAATTATTGCGATAAACAATAATATCGCAGTGACGTCATATCCACCTGTACGAAATACGGCTCACTTGCTTCAGGTTTGAGTAACTATGAGCGCAAGAAACGATAAACTTGTGTTTCAATAGGAGTCTGCTTTGCAGCTATAACAGCTGCCACCCTTCTGGGAGGACTTTCCACAAGATTTTGGAGAGTGAAATAATTTGTCTTTTCATTCAGAAGAGCATTTGTGAGGTCAGGCACTGATGTTGGATGTGAAGGTCTGGTTCACAATCTCCATTCACACCACAGCTATTTTTCTAAATGAAATAAGACCAGAGTTACTCTTACTGAGAAAATGATACAACTGAAAATGCCTGAGATGCATGACCTGAGAGAGACGCCACAGCACCACCGACTTCGCTCGTCATTTTAACGGAGAGAGGAGCAGCTAACTTAGGTCTACCAGGCTTAATACACATGCCATGGGCTGGCTAGAGTTCACACCTGTCTTACAGAGAGGGGCGGACTGGACAAGCTGGGTGAGCGGCCAAGGCCCTGGGCAGGGCCAGACACATAACTTAGACAGACGGTCCGAACATACGGAGCCAGCAAGCCCTCAGGAATAAAGCAGTTTGGTGGGGGGGGGGTGCCCAGGAGGTCCACAGGCCACGTCAAAGGCACAGCAGAAGGCAGAGGCAGGCACGACCCCCCATCTGTTGGGTCGATGACACTTTACACCCCCCCTACCCTGAGCGGAGAGCGGTTTACTCATGCGGCCCCTCATTAGACGCAACAATCAACTGCATTTTCTGACACCCCAAGCAGAGCACTGACTTAAGGAGGGCCGACTAACTCATTAGTGTTTACTCCAGACACCGGGAAAGATCTGCGGCAGCATCAGACTGACATGCCATTTCTTCCATTAATGCTCCCAGAAGAGAGTAATGAGTAATAAATCTACTGGCAGAAATTTTTGAAAATCAATGATTAGATCGTAACCATCTGCACGTTGTAATAGCAACAACAATATTACAATAATAATGTTCAGCAGGTGCACACAGTGACTCACAAAGAACCAAAAGCAAACTGCTATCAAAGTGGCTACAGCACAGCATAACTAAACACACGACAGCATAGCAGCATTAAGCAAAATACAGACACAGGCAGCAGTGTCACGACAGCTTGTAGACACCCACCTGCATTGTGGATGTTGTTGCTCTGCGTGGGAGGCTGGGGGCCCGCCTGAGGGGCCCTGGGGGCCCCAACGTTGCCGAATCCGCCATTCTGCTCCAGTAGCTGCAGGGATTCATAGCCGTCGTGAGTGGCCTTCCAGCAGTAAGTGTTCAGCAGACTCATGACTGTACAGACTAAACCCAAAGAGGAGCAGAGAGGCAGAGCACCGTGCACAGAGTGTTTATGACGCCCAGAGCGTCGTGAGAGCGCCCAGCCACACTGGCCAAAACTGTCCTCTGCGCTCGGCTCTGCTCCGCTCCACTGCAGTGGGGGGGGCGTAAGCGCCTTAGTTCAGGCAGAAACTCCAGCTTAACCCAGATCATCTCAAGCTACATCAGTGGTCAAACAGAGCGGGGCGGGCAGAGCGCCCCCTCCGCCCCACCCCCGCGGCTCACGGGTCCCCACGTCTGCCGTCTCGAGGGTGACGGTGCCCAAACAGAGCCCTGGCGCGTACGCAACCCTGCTCTCTCGTGCGTCCGGCTGGCCCCGCTCCGGTGCATGAGATCAGTGGCCAGAGATGGCGCCGCTCGCAGGCCCGCCGCAGGGGACAAGGCGGCTTTTCTTCCAGGGTCAGGGGCTAGGCGAGGGGGGGCGGAGGAAGCAGCCAGCAGGTTCTGAATGGTCCTTCTGAGGCCACTGAGCAGCAGAGCACATTTGCATGGAGGGCACGCCGTTTGTTTGTTTGCGCCGCTTGTTTGTTTACACTGCAGAACGTCGGCACACAGCGTCGTGAGCCGCAGGCACCGGAGCAGACGGCCCAGTGAGCACTGGGCTTTGTGAGATAACATGCCACAAGCATCCTGCGCCCCCAGTACAGAACCATGGGGAATCCAAACATGGGCTATAGCTGATGTTAATATACAGAGCATGACAGGTGACTGTCATGTAGAGCCTTCAACAAAAAGCTCAGCAAAGTTCACAAATAACGGAACCTTCAATGATTGTGCTCATTTCCCATAACAGCAGAGAGCCTGAAATCCATATCGGGGGGGGGGACCCTGGATGGCACGCTACCCCATATCCACTTCACATCACACACACTGGCCAATTTAGACACAAATTCATTGAACTGCAATCCCCATACTCACAGAGCTGAGGGCCGCCCTACCTCAGTAATGGGGGATTTGGGGTTGACGTTTCTAGCAGCGGCCACCTCCTGCAACTGGTTCACCACCTCAGTGATGGACAACCTCTCATCTGGGTTGATCTTCAGCATAGACCCTACGAGTAACAACACACATTATAACACAGGGTGCTTCTTACAGATTTCATTTGCCCTTTTGATCACCAATCAGTGCTCCGCCACTTCTGCTGCTGGAACATGTTAATGCATAAACCATACATATTACAAGCTATAATTAAAATAGCCCAATTCCTCACAGGCCCCATGGATCAAGCCTAAAGATATAAGGGTCTACTGTCCATTCAAGTACGGTTCATGGGGGGGGGGAAATACAACCATTTCAACTCCAACCCCAAAAATACTAATGTGCCTCTCCCTCCATAACAGCTGCTCATTTAAAGCAAGTCAGCATTATACTCACAGCACTTCCTTGAAGACAGACAAGTGATTAGTCTGGACTATATTACTACCATTGAGAATCAAAATCCAGGTCTAATTTAAAGTTATTGCTCTGTTTACAAGCCCTGTTCCTCAGCCGAAATTTAATTTCTACTCTGCTGCATCTAACCAAAATAATAACTTGTGCTGATGAATAACAGGTACAATTGACCCTAAAAAGTCCTTTTCTTCCCTTTAACCACATTACATTGTTTAAAAACAAATACAGTGGAAACCGCTTATAGTGATCACGGTCATAGTGGTCAACCGCTTATATGGATCAAAAAGCTTGGGACGAAATCATTCCTATAGGAATATTGTTTAAATAAGTTGCTTATAGTAATGAAGTAGTCTGCTTACAGTGTTCATTTTGGGGGTTTTATACATGACAACATGGAAAAATTAAACTACGGTAATTCTTTTTTTTTTTTTTCTTTACTTTTGTAGCCCTGCTTTGTCTTGGAGTAACCCTTCTGCTTCTGGTTAGCTACTTGCGTGCACAGTAAACATGATGGGAAAAAGTCATTTTCTCTCAATGAAATATATAGACTCAAAGCTTATGACAAACCAGACAAAAAGAACCAACGAGATGAATCTGTGAAACAACAATAAGCTATATTTTATATACAGTACTGTATTATAGCGTATTTGGGCTCAGTAATTTAATTTGTTGGGTACAGTAATTTGCAAAGTGTTTTAAACAGCTGAGTCAATAAAATTCAGTAAATAGTGATGCTGTCCTTATATTAATGTAATATGAAAATGTCAATCAGACGGAAATCTGCCGAGACAAAATAATTTAAAAATTTGTTATAATGATCATCCACTTAGAGTGATCAATTTCACCCAGACAGACGTGATAAGTAAATGCAGTTTGCATTGTACATCACTCCTTATGTGCAGCAGGTTTCATTCAACTTCCCAGCTGGACATAGCTTAGGTCACCTGAAGGTATTCTGCTCCATGACTGAGAAAACGGGGGTGGGGGGGTTAAGGTTTTCAGAGAAGAACTCACGGGTGAGATCGTGAAAGACTGTGTACTTGGTGTCATTCTGGGGGATGGTGTACTTCCCATTGACGATCTGCAGTTTCGCCCCCTCCTCAAAGGGGTGAACTTTGAAGCAGAGCAGGTAAAGGATGCAGCCCAAAGCCTGCAGAGAAAGGAGCAGGGATACCAAAAAGGGCCCAAAGTGAAGCCTGCGAGGTCTATTCATCAGCAAGGACACAAACTCTCACTGGGTGCCAGTTATACAATATTACTGAAATGTAAGGCTGGTTAAAGCCCATTTTATTTCTCTTCTTGCCGACCTGGATGGAGAGGATCACTGGCAAGAAAAAAATACCTCCTACATTTCCAGCCAAACTGAATATACCTACAAAATGGGGGTCATGTAACCTCCAGAGTACAGACCTCTGCCACCGTGTAAAGCACTTGGATTTAAAACCCAACCCTGCTGATGTCAACACAGGGTGACAAGAGCAGGAACTCTAGTCAATCAGGTTATCTAAACCACAGCACTGCACCTAAAGCGGCAGAATGGAGATTAAACCCAGAGTTCTAGCTGTTGTGCCCTTGAGTCACTTAATATTATACTTAAGAGATTCAAATTGTAAATAAGCAAGGAAAGAAAAAACACCATTAACTATAAATCAGAAATGAATGGTAAAGTAACACAAAGAAAATTAGTCTCTGAGTAGATGTAAAACAAGTAATGAAGTCATTTTTCCCCACTCACCCATATGTCCTGCTTCTCATTGATTGGGTAGTTGGAATACAGGTCTATCATCTCAGGTGTCCTGTAAGCTGGTGTAGTGTTCCTGGTTATCTGGGAAAAGAGTTTCAATACAGTTCTTCCATGTGTAGTTCCACTCAGACAGAAACGGTACCTAAAATGAACTCAGCTGATGTCAAAAATACAGATTGCTTCTGAAATTGTCTGTAAGCATTTATCTTTTTGCAGCAGATCAACACGGCCATTATGTTTCAGTGATGGCTTCCTCTCTTTATTTCAAGCCATGTCATTCATACGCAAGGGGCTCCTTGACATTGAGCAAATGGCCCTAAATTTAATTGTGTGTCACCAGGTCGGGAAATGCGCCCTGGAGGATGGCGATGTTTGGGCCAGACGCAGTTTCCCTGGCTTCAGCAGAGAAGCCTGCATCAATCGTCCATTTCATTGACATATGGGCGACTTTATGGAAATGTGCAAACAAGGTCAGTGGTGACCCAAAGACTTCTGGAAACAATGTGGCTTGTATCCTTTCTGCTGTCAATTCCAGGATGAAAAACATTCAAGTAAAATAATGAAATAAAAATGGGTCACAAGTCTGATAAATTGCCATGACGACCAGCAGACAGAGGTGAGCATTATGGGCTTTAAACCTTAAAGCCTGTCGTCATTTTCAGACCTTGTTACACTTTTCCAGGATAGTATTTAACTAGCTGCAAAACAGCAAGCCGTGTGCCTTGAAAGACAGAAAACGCCATGTTCGGTGTCCTACCTCATCCTCAACCATGGACCTCTTCTGAGCGGACCAGCTGTAGTCGGGGTAGTAAGCTATGGTGGTAGAACTGCCAAAGTCACACAGCTTGATGGTGCCTTGGTGACTGATCAGCAGGTTCTCAATCTGCAAGGAAAAAGGCCAATTGTCCAGTGGGTACTGGCTCATCCATGCTGTTTTTGCACATGGCAGCAGAGGCTGGGATTAGACCTAGATTCGGAGCCTGGACAATCTAAAATACTAGCAATTCCCCAAGCACACATTTCCAAGTGATGGATTTTACTTTTACAATGCTGTCTTCCAAAATGCTTTCAAAATTCCACAAATATGTGACCTAGCACTGGAAGAATTGTGCTTCCTTCTAGTCTTTGACTTCATTCTGTACATTAACTACCATCCCCTGGTAAGCTGTCACCAGTCCAACTACTTCCAGACCAAGGAAAGTGCCCGGAAACATTTCGCTGTGCAAACAAAGGGAAAGTGAGGAAGTAACACAAATTATAATGCTAGTTCAGCAATTTCAACAGCTGCATTCACATGAATACTATATGAAGATACACAAACATCCCAACCTGATTCACCAGTCCAGAATGATTATTATACACTATATGGACAAAGGTATTGCTACACCAGACCATTATACCTACAGGAACTTTTACATCCCATTCTAAATCCTTAGGCATCAATATGGAGTTGGTCCCCCCTTTGCAGCTATAATAGTTGCCATTCTTGCAGGGAGGCTTTCCACGAGACTTGAGTGTGTCTGTGGGAATTTCTGCCCATTCATCCAGAAGAGTATTTGTGAGGTCAAACACTGATGCTGGACGTGGAGGCCTGGCCCTCAATCTCTGTCCTAGTTCATCCCAAAAGTGTTTGATATAGTTGAGGTGAGGGCTCTGTGCTGGCCAGTCAAGTTCTTCCACATCAAACTCACTCAACCATGTCTTTATGGACCTTGCTTTGTGCACTGGGGCACAGTCATGTTGGAACAGAAAAGGGCCTTCAACTGTTCCAACAAAGTTGGAAGCATAGAATTGTCTAAAATGTCTTGTTCACTTCACAGGAACTAAGGGGCCTAGTCAAACCCCTGAAAAACAACCCCATACCATTATCCCTCCTCCACCAAACTTTACAGTTGGCACAATGCAGTCAGGCAGGTAATGTTCTCCTGACATCCACCAAACCCAGACTTGTCCATCAGACTGCCAGTCAGTCCACTGAACACTTTTCCACTGCTCCACTTCGTAGCTTCCAATTTGCAATAATACCACTTACAGTTGACAGTGGAATATGTAGCAGGGAAGAAATTTCTTGAACTGCCTTATTGCAAAGGTGGCATCCTATGACAGTACTGCACCGTTACACTGACCTCTTTAGAACAACCCATTCATTCACAAATGTTTGTAAACCTGACTGCATGGCTAGGTGCTTGGTTTTATGTATCTGTAGCAATGGATCTGAATGAAACACCTAAATTCAGTGGTTAAGAGGTCTGTCCCAATACTTTTGTCCATATAGTGTATTTGGTGCTTAGAGACTGTGTGTAATTAACATCTTTCTAGGTTTATCACAAGGACTCTGTAATAAGTGGGTGATTAAATATTGCCTCTTCTACTTTTGGGCAAAAATAATCAATCATATCCAGTGTCATCCACCAGAGGGTGACAAAACGCATATTCACCCCAAGGAAGTATTTTTTAGTTTTCAGTACTCCTGAATAAACACCATAGACTAGTGAGAAAAGTTAAACAGAAGTATCAGGAAATACAGAAAGGGAATACAGTGTAGAAATGTGTCCTCTTTCTGGTAACACTGAAATACATAAAATACTACTGCAAAGGCGCAGTTAGTGACAATCTGCACAGCTGTTTCATACTGACTTTTAAGTCCCTGTGTATGATAGGTGGCTTCTGCTTGTGCATGTGCTGCACGGCGCGACATGATTGGTAGAAGATCTTCAGCACGGTGTCACATGACATGGATCCCTTAACTTCAATTCTTTTAATGAAGTCCACTAGTTGACCTGGATCAGAGAAATGGACAAAGAAACCGTCAGAATCCAGTCGCTTATTCTGTAGTTTTTAGTCTTATGTTTACGAATTTATTTTTTTGCTTTTGTCACAACAGAACCAGCTTCTCTGCTGCTAATGAAGCTCATTTTGAATCATCATTCAGCAATCTGACAAAGAGCAAAGCAATTAGATATTTACACCATAGATCTATCATATCGGGATATTTTAAACATGACTTCTTATGTTATTTATTTAAAAATCTGTCTCCCCCTATATTGCAGAATATAATCAATTAGTAAACAGTGATCCAGCTTAGAACAACAAGAACACATTTCAGTTGGATAGAACAGTTTAAGCTAGCGATGGGCAACATGAGGATAATTACTCGTTACTGGTTGCAATTGTATGCACGATAAACATTATCGCAAAAATTGCAATACAGCACTATTTAATACTACTATCATAACAGAACAAACTGCCAAGCACCAATCACATGATGCCACAATGTCAGCCTGCATAACAACTCAGCGCTGTCTGTATCTGTCACCATGGCAATTATCTGTCTTAGTGTATCTCAATTTAGGGACTAGACACTGAACTAAAAACTTAATTGATCTTTTCATACCAGTTAGCTAACTTGGTTTAAAAGAATATTCCAAGGGACAGCTAAAAAAAAATGCTGCACGTGTAACACAGTAAGCAATGCATGGTCATAAAAGGGATGGACACGCTGTCGAATAAACATAGCATGTGGCATGGCTGACGAGGGAGAATTAGTTCCAAAGAATTATCTACTTCGATTTGTGTGGAAGCGGTACATTTATAACAGGTGGAAACACAACCACTCTTTTCAAATGCTTAACTTTATTACACATATTCCAATGTGTTCAGTTTGTAAACAAACAAAATCGTGATCTATATCATTATATGACATTTTGGCCATTTCGCCCAAGGCTGGCTTAAGTGTTCTTTATGCTTTATTATTTTAAAATGAGTACACACACATACAATGAGAGCTATATATTAGTGTTGTGAAGTAGAAAGTAAAAGAAAAAAAAAAGGAAAAAAAAAAAGTATTTTCATATGTTTGATACAGAATGGTCAACAAAATACAAATGTTTACAGCATTATATACCAATGCAATATGACTGTTACCGTGCTTTACCCATGTTATCGCCAGTGTAAAGATGTTTTTACAGCAGATCATTCGAGAGATGTACTGATTGTTATTATGCAGAATCTTTATTTGTTCTACCTGCTCTGCTGGACATGCCTGGCGTAGTGCAGACAGAGCAGCGATCACTGGTCAGTGCAGAGGTTCCATAAAATCAGTCAGTTTTAGACGCTGGTGAGATATGCAGCTGCTATAAGGGGCACCATTTTTCTTTTTAATGTTATGCAAATTTAACCCAGAGAAAATGTAGGCTATGTATTGTTGTTGCTGGACTGCGAGTTCCTGACATAGTGAGAATCAGGCAGTACCCTACCTCTACAGAGCTCAGTGAGGATAAGAAACTCTGCTTGGCCGGTATCTGACTCCTCCTTCCCGATGGATGCTGCTGAGCAGAACTGGACCACGTTGGGGTGACCAGAGAGCTTTTTCTGAGCACAAACAGTGAAGGAAAATATCCTTGGATCTAACATGTGATTGAGTGCCACCTGGTGGCACAATAGGGAGAGGATTTTTTTTTTTCCTTTTGAAAGAACCGAAAACAATTGCTTTGAAGTCAACTAGTTTTTTTCATATTAGCAGTTCAAAGCTTTGAAAAACTTCTTGTAAGTTAAAAAAAGAAACAAAAACAAACAAAGGCTCAGCGCCATAATATACAACTGGGATGAGTTTATATAGCTTACATTTGTTTAATAAAATCTGGTATTAAATGGGTTGATTTATCTACACACTCACATATGAGACCTGAGTGGCCATTTGCATATTAATGACTGACAATAAGTGGCCTAAAAAGAGTGAAGTGAAAGGAGATCCTGTTTGGACAGAAGGACGACCACCTCAATCACCCTACATGGGCACAGAGGATATAGCGAACCGTGGTTTCCACGGAGATCTAGCAAATTTGACGAAGCACAAAAGCTATTAGCGGCATTGCAAGCTTTTCTCGAGCTCGGTCTAAAAGGCTGCAGAATGAGGGTGTGCGCTCATCAGGTGTTCTTATGACGGGAAAACTTGCGTGGCATTCAACTTTTAACAACTGTCCTGAAGGGCACCCCCTCGAACTGCACTCCGCAGTTTCTAATACTACTGCCCATTCAGTCGGCTAAAATGTCTGAAAATGACTAACTCACTTCGTCGGTATAAAACGGGCCATTCAGTGCTGCCTGTGTTACTTTCCTAACTGCAGTGCCTGCCAGTGAAGCAGACCACTAAAGTTCAAGCAAAATTTAAATTTCAAAGAGCCAACGTAAAATTTCCAAACAAGGAACTTACCTGCCAATTCATTACAATTTTAAAAAGCACTGATTCCTCTATTTCAGTCTGACAATCAGTATTCCTGATAAAGCAAGGCGGTGCACTCACATACCATTATAACCCATCAAATCAAAACAAATTCTTTGAAAAGAATATCAAATGAATAATCCAGACAATCACAATAAAGCAAACCAAACAGAACCCAGGGACTTAGGATGACCTTAATTCAGTATACAAATGCATGCAAGAAAATGCTCCAGAAAGCTGTGCCCCCCTTTCACCCCACATACTGAAAAGGATACCATAAAGCAGACCTCCTGGATGATGGCCTTATTCTTTTCTTCCTCATTGGACAATAACCTCTGCAAATAGACACAGAACACCAAGCACAAGTTAGATGCAAAGAAATGGAAATATGACTAGTGCTCAAAAAAAATCAATGGAGATTCTTCTCTTTAAAAAACATCATTTAAAGCTCATGAAAGGGACAAGGACAGATCAATATCACATAAAAGTCAGCCTAAACGTAAAACCAGTTTTTACAAACAGATGCTTAAATGCATAGATTAGAAATATTCTTGAATCAGTCGTGAACATACCATTGTCTCTAAAGTTTCCCATTCAGCAGACCATTAATGCAGCTTGAAATACTACAAATCATTCACTACACTGATGACATTTCTGCACGATAAATGTGCCACAAGTTAAGGCAAACACCACTTTGAGGAAACATTGGAATTTAAACAAATCTTAAAATTCATTTATGAACAGATTCACAGGATTTGTCAGATGAGATCAATGGTAGCCAACCAAACTCCTTAAGGTCTGCAGGAAGAGCTAGTCGATACTCTGCTACAGCAATGAATTGCCTTGTTGAATTATTTAGTTGGAAAGTCAGTGTATTCACCTTGTGTTTCCTGGGAAAAAAGTTCCCAAACTCACAAGTGTCCCTACCCATTCCATAAGTCAGTTATTTTTACCTCCGGATGACCTCATTATCCTAGACAACTACTTTTCACGTCCATAGCTAGGTGAACACGATGTGCTGAATATATAGAAATTAATGGAATATTCTGGCCTATTCAAAAAATGGTATCGGAACCACTTCCCTAGAAGTCAACAAACAGCTGATCCCCATGTTCCTTGGAGTCAATGTGAAGGTTTTGCATTTGCAAAAGAACAAATTGTTACTTCTGTCCAGATGTGTATTGACTACATGTTAATCAGTAACAGCCTCTACAAATTGTCTTTCAAACTTCTTGGTTCATGAAGTGTAACTCAGCACCTTCGTCTTGGGCCCACAGCCTTCTGCTACTAACATACTCAGTTCTAACAAAATCCCTAGGAGGAGAAAATTACTAGTATGCAGTCAGAACAACAACAATGTAATCCCCAGACAGCCCCATCACCCCCCCTACCTAATCCCTACTCCTCCCATATCCCCCAACCTCTCTAACACCACACTAGGTTGAGCGGTATCTAATTTTTCAATCCATCATATCATCCATATATTATATTGCGGTATAAGGTATTTTAGCGGTATTTCCAAAAGCAATGGTATTCCAGTATCTTAGCAGAGGGGCCCCAGGATAAGATTAGGCAATGGGGAGGAGGGAGTTCATCCTCAACATAGTTTGGTGAACGAAAATACCACAAAAATACCACCCAAAAAAACTGAGGTATACTACAAACACTGCGGTAAACCGTATTACTATAATACCACCCAAGGATACCCTACACACTCTCCTAAAACTCCTTAGTAGAAACTATTCTAATTTGATGTATCTCGGTGTAATCAGGTTCACCAGATCTGTGCCTGTCGCTGTCCTGTCAGGTGCCACCACTGACCTGGACTTGGGCTAAGTGACACAATGAAATTCCTCAAAGGCAAATTTCGCTGACCAACTCCTGATAAAATTGGCAAAGCTAGTGGGGGGGGGGGGGGTTAAAATTCATATTTCAGTACCACTGACCTGTGCAATGTTCATAAAAAGTTTGCGAAAGACCCATCGAATACTTTTGGTGAATACTTTTTAATGTTCATAAGGTGAAGTGTCTTCTGTGGTGACACTTCCCTTTGCTGTCACAAAGCGGCGTTGCTTCAGTCTTTTAGTACAAATCTGATAGGGCTCAGATCGGCACCAAAACAATGTGCCTGCAAAGTCTGGAAAAGATCCAACAATTTCGAAGTTATCAAGCTGCTAATATCAAGTGTCTGCCTGTTGCTATCACTGTGTGCTGCTGCTTCGGTTTTGGGACAATCTGTCTCAAAGTTTGATAAGTTCCACTCCGTAACAAATATAATGTCTCTTCAAAGTTGGAAAAAATACCTTATGTATCACCTGTCCAGGGAGTATAATTACAAGCAGACACTCATAACTAAATGTATTTTACTGAACTCAGCACAAGCACGACAGATTCCAATGGAGGAAAAATCAGTTTCGGAATAGCTAATGACAGCAGTATTACTTGGTACACAGATGTGTTCCATTACCATTAGGTGAGCAGGGCTCCTGACTAACTTTTCCTGCCACCAACCCCCAAGTTATTTCCTGTAAGTTGGAGGACCTCCTGATAGGGTTGGATGTAGATTAACATCATACCCAGGATGAAGCAATTGCAGGTTAAGGGCCCTGCTCAAAGGCCCAACAGAGCAGAATCACTCCGGGCATTCACGGGATTTGAACCAGCAACCTTCCAGTTACTGGCACAGATCCCTAGCTGCAGAGCCACCACTAGGACTGAGTTAGAAAGCAGTGGAAGGCTGTAGGCCTAAGACAAAGGGCGGAAGATACCTGCAAATGTGACAATTTGCAAATAACAGTCATGCACCCCTAACCTGTACAATAACATTAAAAGTCTACTTATTACCAATTTCTAAAACTAGGGCTGCAACTAATGATTATTTTGATAATCGATTAATCTGTCGATTACTTTTTCGATTAATCGGGGGGGGGGGGGGGGGGGGGGGGAGGGGTGAATGAAGACTTTGCGTTAAGTAATCTGAATAATTGCATAAAATAATCCAAAAACTCCACAACGTCACATAATACATCAGTGTCTCTCTGACCCAATTTCAGCAAATTATCGTCACATTCTGGCAGAATTAAAACAAGACTGCTGTGTCCGCCTCCGGCATTTTTTAAACGTTTTTATCAGTTCTCCCAGAATTCATCACATAAGCTACTCAAGGCACGCCATTGGTTCTCGTCACCTTTTTCTTTTATGGCGGTTGGCATTCATCTTAATGGTACTTTACTGCCACCGTGGCTTTGGTTAGCTTACTGCTCCCAAATTAGGAGGTAGCCACTGTACTTATGTGTATAATAACGTAGACCCAACTAATCGATTATTAAATTAGTTGGCAACTATTTTAATAATCGATTTTAATCGATTAGTTGTTGCAGCCCTAAAACAAACAGTACTGTACTCTATGCATGTCAAATTACTATGTCATTTTCTATCGAGACCTTAATACATTAAGACATAATACATACTGAACATAGTAAGGAGTACATAGGGAGTACATAGTACATACTGTACTGAATATGGTAAGGAGTAAATAGGGAGTACATAGTACATACTGGACATAGGGAGCATTCCGTTTCGGATTCATTATAACAAAAACCTACATTAATGGCACCCAAATGTGTAAAAGTTACTGTGAGAAACGCAAGATTGCATGATCACAAAACATGCAAGTGAGGTTGGTTGCTGAGACAAATATGCATGGCATACCAAAGCCAAGACTTTAATATGAAAGACATGGCATACAAATATTATGCATTACTAATATTTATATATTATACGATTTTATGTGATTGAAAACATTTTCAGTATTGTTTTTGACTTATGCAGCCATTTCTGAAATCTTTCATCAACCTCCAAAAAAAAGACTCATTTAATTGTTCACGACCTACACCATGTGAAATGGTTACTGTATTTAAATCCAAACATTAACTTTAATAACTGTCATCATCACCTTCTCATTTTGCTTTTTAAAATAATCAGCTACAGACCGCTTCATTTTTGGAACATGTTCACACCACAGCTAAAGGAACCGTTTACGTGTTTTATCATCCGTGCACATATACGTACAGTATGTACACCCGAGTGCAGGTAGGGAGAGACCAACTCAAAAGAGACACACTAAGCCAGGGAAGAAAAAAAAACTTTCAGTCGCAATTCATTAATATAGTACCCATGCTGGAGCAAAACATCCTAATGATTATCATACACTTGCACAGATGCGACCACCTGAAATTTTAACCTGCACACTCATTAAATGACTGCGGTCTGAATCCCTGGCAAGACCTACAAGGTGGTATTTCCAGGCATCTTACGTGTTACAAACCTAGCCAGAAAACAGCAGACATGCTGCTAAGAGAGGAGAGAAAGAGGACAAAAGAGATTATTCTAATTCTTTTTGTGCAGCCACAAAGGGAGATGACCCTGTGGAAGACATAGTACCTTGAGAGCATATTCTTTGTTGCTGGTGACATTCTGTGCTTCGTACACAAAGGCGAATCCACCTGCAAACCAAGAGAAACAGAAAACCTAGTTATACATATTTAACAATGGTTATAATCACAACTGTTGCTACTACTGCTGCTAGGAAGAGTCTCCAGTACATGGCAACTTCCCTACTATGACGGCTGAGGCATGATGTTTGCATTCAGGTCAGCGGCTTCCTCAAGAGTCTCTGGACCCAGGGAGAGGAGATTTACCCAGCCGGGTAAATCAGGTCACAGGTATGTAAAAGTGAATCAATACAGAGAAATCAAGACGTCTGGTAAGAACAGGCCCAACAGAAGACACAGCACAAGGCAGTCCAAGCAAGGGTACAGAACTCTTAAGGAATCACGCATGCCAATAATGTCTGGTCAAGGAATTAGGTTGTCTTTGCCTTTGAAAATTCCACCAATGGCCCCACCCTTCCTGGGGGGAGGCTTCGAAGATGTGTTAAGCTAAACTAACAATTTCAAATATGGACAATCCCCAAGGCAACAGAGACAATTCAACACAATGTGGACTTGAATGGCAGCACCATGCAATGACATAAGTAACATGTAAGTGCCCACATTATTGCAATGCAACTGGTAGAGAGGCTTAAATTTTAGAATCCTCCTCAGTGTCCAACAAGAAATGAATCTGAGATTAGTGCCAGGCGGCTTTCTGTTAAACACCTCTAAGGATCTTGTGTCGTAGAGCAACCAAAATGTAATCATTACAGAATTCATGAGATGATATGCTTTCATTTCTCATAGCTAACAACAAGAAACCTGCAAATTCTTACAATTCATTCCAACAAGGCTTCAGGCATCCCCCACCCCCAACAGCTTCAATAATTAAACCATTACAAATAAAAGGCATATAAATGTTGGTGCATACCCCCCAAAAACAGAGTAACTTGGACAATGAGCCATTAGAAGAGGAGAGGTCAGTAGCCCCAGACAATGCACCTTCAGGTGTCATATAATACTCCCTGTGGAAACACGGGCAGTGTGGGACTGGGCCAGGGTAACCATGGCGACATATCACATGAGCCAAAAGAAAACAGCTTTTTGGGTCTCACGTTTCGAAGAATGCCAACAGACACTCCAGAAACAGGGCTCATGGAAATTAAAGAAACTGAGAGGATTACAGTGGCAAGAGGGAAGAGAGCGAGACCTCACTTACTACTCAAACGCATGTTTTCATATTGCTGCGGGAGAAAACCAAACAAACCCTCGCAAAGTGTAAGCAGGCCTTTACAAACACCCACAGGCACAAAACACACTTGTTAATCCCCAGAGGAGTCATGAGCACCACAGGCCCTCAGTGACATGGAACCCTTAAGAAACCCAGTAAAAGCAAGTTAATTAAAGGGAGAGATTGGGGGGAAAGACAAAAAATAATCCATTTTATGACAAAGACTTCCTTTGTGCTCATATTTAAGTATACAAACAGAAAAATCCATCATATGTTTAGGATCTGGGACCTGCAAAGCAGCAAAATGTTGTTTTTGAATCATTTTGTATCTTTCTTCTTTCACTGCTACAGAACACTATCTGGATTTGCATGACAGTGTGCTGGACAGTGCCATCATCAAACCCGTAGCGTGGCAAGAGTGCAGAGATGCACCCTGGGAATCAGTGTTTAAATGGCAGTAGATGGTCCAACAGCAGGGGGTTAAATGGCTGGAGCTAAATGCCGAACAAATTCAACTAAATGTCAAAAATGCCTTCATTTCAAGCCAATGGCATGCAGGACAGCCAGTAGCTAGAGGGGCTTCTGGTTGTGCTCTTGGCAGATACAGCAGAGAGTCTGTGATGCAAGCCAGACACCAAGCTGATAATGCTGAGACACCACTTCCCGATTGCATGTCCTTTATGTAAATGCCATCTTGTGATAAACACACACATGACCCATGACCTTCCAATCATTTATCACGAAAGTGAAGGTCCATCCTTCCATTATCCACAAGTAATAATACAATGAAGGGTCACAGTGTACAGAGCAAAAGTCAGGAGACAGCCTGGAAATAATGCTAATCCATCACATGGCACGCATACACAGACACAGAGAAACAAAGAGACAGGTAGGGAGAGACAGGTAGGGAGAGACAGGCAGGGAGAGACAGGCAGGGAGAGACAGGCAGGGAGAGACAGGCAGGGAGAGACAGGCAGGGAGAGACAGGCAGGGAGACACTCAACATACAATTTAGAGACACTGATTCACCTAAATAGGTGTTTTTGAACGGCAGAAGAAAACCAGAGTATGTGGAGGAAAGCAAAATTTCACTTAAGATAATCTACACAGTTGTTTGCAGTTGTAAATATTAAACACAATTCATAATTCATAATTCATAATACCTACAAAGCTAACTTTCTTATGACAACAAACTAACACTTAATGACTAATGCGTTTTTTTTTTTTTTTTTACAAACCAGAGCAGGCATGACACGGCCATTCAAAGTTTTATGTCACACTACTTCTATGAAGACAAGAAGAAGTGCAGAAAATCTTGATAAAAACCTAACATACGTACCATTTTCACTTCTATACTTCTCCATTTCTTGGAGAACCAGTTATATTTCTTTAGACTATATTCTAAAGAATATAGTCTATGAATATTTAACATATTCAAAAATGAATGTTAAATGAAGGCCATAGTCAGAAAGCACTTCTCAGCTGATAGATGTGCCATAGCAATCCATGCCTGGTGTGTGGCCACAATTACATACAGCAGATAATAATCCTTCAGACTCCATTTCCGCAAATGGCAGTTCAGCTCTTATAAGCCGACTCTGTGTGGTATTGACTGAAATCTTCGGCTTAATCATTACAAGCTTTTCACAAGGTGGGCCTGGAAGCATTGCTTATACTCCAGTCACAGAAGACTGAACAGTCAAACAAAAAGTCAATTCAGAGGTCTACACACGCACAGTCTACACACTAAAAAGTATTTAAGGTTTGAAAGTGGAGGCTGACATTGCAGGATGTTGTGTTTTCTCTAAGGGAAAAGAGGCAAGGAGGTCACTTGATTTCTGCAGTGTGACCGCCATTCCCCTTCCCTCCATTAAGTACTGTATGCCGGACAGCAAAACAAGCATCGTCACATCACACGTTAATCAACTTTACAAAGGTAAACCTGACAGTGTTTTGACTGATGCTGATTGACACAGTATGACAGCCATTTGATTTTTCTTTATTTAACCTCTCATATTTGTTCTTCATATGAATATGTCAGATTTTGATGGGCTCTGAAAGCACCGTTGTTCATTTTGATTTCAGCAAAGTTCTACTTAAACTGAACACACTTACTTCAAGTTTAACCAGAGATTACTGGTTAACCCACATAAATTGTCAATATCTGTAAATGTGAGTTAAGCCAGAATGGGAATGTATAACAATAAAACACTGGCACAGCTGGAGACAGCATAGAGGGGTGACTGCTACTCACTGGTAAGAAGGTAGCAGCAAAGTATCGTAAGAGATACGGCTGCTATTCACTAAAGCAGGATACTTCTAAAAGCGTAAAAATGGCGACATATTGTCATGTTAGTGTATCTGGCTAAAACACAATAGTATGATGATACTGTATTTACTTTATTAAATCAGAGCTATTGTAAACCGTGAGATAAACAGAAATGTGTCCCATCTATTCGTGTAGATCAGTGTTTCCCAACCCAGTCCTTGGGGACCACCAGACAGTCCACATTTTTCCTGGTAAATCGCTGAAAGGGAGCAAAAACAGACTGTCTTGTGGTCCCCAAGGACTGGGTTGGGAAACACTGGCATAGACAAAACTTTTCTGGTGTCACTGATTCAGTACAATTATTTGATACTGAATTCAGTCCATATAATTTGATAATTAAAAACAACTAAGGTCTCCTTTCATATCTTTGATTTATTCATCTGTACGTCTATTTCACTCAATATGAGTGCCCACAAATAAGCAAGCACACTATTTCATACTTACTTCGCAGTTTTATTTCCCTGATGCTTAGACCTGAATCAGCCTCTGTCATACACAAACTGGTACATCCGGTGCATTTTTCAGTCCACAGTGACACAGAGCGATACGTGCAAAGTACCTGTATAGCTTCTAACACTATTAATGTAGGAAAGGATAACAGCCTGAGAACAGCCTGGGCACCTATTCCATTGAGAGAAATTAAACAACTTACTGGACACCGTTCACGGATATAGCAATTAATTTCTAGTGAGGCAAAGAAATGCAATTTAAAACTGTGAGGTTCGATTACATTTTCTTCCAGCAGTTTTATCTTACGGTCCATACATTGAAGGAAACAACACCGGCCCGGTCGTGACAGACCAGCAGCAAACGCAGCTACCTGCCCACGTAGACGCAGCCTTCCACACGGCTGCTCACCGGTCAATGAATATCTATCATTTCAAACGAAACCCCAAAGACGTTGTTAAACCGCCGCCACTTACCTTCCGCGATAACCCGCTTTATTCTCAGCTTCATGTCACCGAGCTCCACGGTTTGTCCCACGAAGTCATTCTGATCCCGGCTGGCGGCTCCAGCTGAGCCGGGCCCGGCCAGGAAATCAAGTGCCGACTGGAACAGGGACATCTTGTCCGGCGTCTCCCACCGGGAGAGCGCAGCGAGCTATTCTAGCGTAACACACGCAAGTATTAAAGGTCGAAATGAATGACTGAAATCCGACGAGCGAATGACCCGTACGCGGCTGTAAATGATTGAATTCGTCGGTCAGATCCCCCCTTCGTGCTGCTCCGCTGGAACAGCCGTCATCTTCGCCGGCGCACTTCCGTGAGACGGTGGCGTAACGCGTGACGTAACTGCGAGCCTAATCGCTCGCGCCTGCCCGACATTCTGTCCCGCGGTGCTCTGCTGCTCTCTGCCTGCTGTTCTGTGCAATAGCTTAAAGAAGCAGGTTTTATAAGATTAGAAATGTGTGTGAGTTGAATGTTGTCTTTTAACTCAGAATTTCAATTTTGTCAATTTTCAATCAATTTTGTCTTTTTAATCTCAGAATTCTGACTTTTTTTTCTAAATTCAGAATTCTGAGATTAAAGTCAGAATTCTGACATTAAAGTCAGAATTCAAATAATATTTTCATGGTGGCCCTAATTCTCTTCCGTATATATCCCCATTGCAAATATTTTATATTTTAACATCTTACCAATACATTTCACTAGATTAGTGCCCGGCGATGGACTGCCAATCATGTAGCCCTGTAGCCCTGCCTTGAGCGCTGTGCTGTTTCAAATAGGTTCCAGCCTCTCTTACCATGATTACGATAAGCGGTTGGAAGATGTATTTATCTAGTCTAGAACAGATTTTTTTTAAATTATCGTAACATTTTATTACAGATCGGACAGGTCATTGTAGAAATTCTATGTTAAAATGAAAATAAAATATAAACTAAAAAATAGATTTGTTTTACAATATTTTCACAAAGTATGGTCACGTAAAAGTCGGTACGTATGTATTTTCTCGTAAAGTACATTAGCCTATGTTTTTACATCCGCTACCCAAGTCAGCAGACATCTCATGACCACGCTTCCGCTGGTCATGTGACCTAAGCCCTGGTTACGGAGAACGCGTCGCTAAGACGGGAATCGGAGGGGGGCATGTGGTCTGATTTGGAGAAAGGCTTCAATCAGAGATAATATCGTGCTCTAAAATGGATAGGCACAAGATACTCGGAGGACTATTGGAGCAGCCCGCTGAGACCGACGGCCTAGATATGTAGTAGTATAGCGAAGAGAATCCAGAGTCGACCTGTAGATTGCAGTTCACGACAGCTAGCTGCCCGTGGGGATAAAACATGATTATCTGCCTATTATTATTCTCTTCGACGAGGCCATCATTCCTCTGGTGAGATAAAACTTCCCTGTCTTTAATGTTCTCTTTTGCAGATTATAAAACAGTCGGTTACTCTACGTATTCGTGCGTTAGTTTGCCTTGTTGTTTTCTCACAAAAATCGCGTTAATAAAATAAACATATTCACTAAACTAGTCACTAAATAACATGTTCAACGGCGCGCAACTAACGAACCAGCTGTAGGATATACATTATTATTCAGCTATTTGCTTATTGTATGAGGAAATGTACATGACAAGCTAAAATTTAACTAGCTAACTGAATGTGCAGGCTAACGAGAAGGGTCGTGTAAAGTTGAAACGACGCAACCATTGCTAAGCGATATTATGTAGCATTTATTAATAAATGTAAACAATTGTTCTAAGTAATTAATCTGTTTCCAAAGTGAGAAACGGTCACAACTAAGACTAATTTAGTTTCCTTGGTGCATGTTTTCTGTGCACGTCCACGCAGGTGTTAAGTGTACATCCGGCAAAAAAGCATCCTAAAAAGAATAAACTGAAAACCTCAATAAGAAAACAACATTCTTTATTTTAATATTAGCCACTATCAGTTGATTCTCTGTGAAATACCATTAAGGTTTGCTAGCAAACGTTTCATTTTTTTACTGGACTGCAATATTGCTTGCCTTGGAAATAGGGGTTTATATGGATAAGTAATAAACTACAGCTCCAGGTATTTTAGCATCAAGTTATAGAGCCATCTTGCTCCCTCCCATCCTGTCAGGTGTACTAATGCACTATGGCAGTAATGCAGTATAATAGGATTGGGTAGCCTGGTCTCCTCCCCTTCCACTTATCCCCAGATGGACTTAGATTTCTGGAAGTCTCTGGACACCTCATTTGTGCTCATCACACTGTTTTTAGGGGTGACCATGTCACCTACAATGTCCAATTATAAATATGGGACTTTTCCCACTTTGATTCAGGTATATAATTGAACCGTGTGCAATTTCATCAGTGATATTAGACTACCTTGTGTGCCTTGACCCACAGACGTAATGTGTTGATTAGAATAAGTGTGTCAATGGTCAGGTGTCAACTGACCCATGGCAGTGTGCTGCACTGTGAAGCCCTGATTGATGTGCGTTTGTATTAGAAGTGAGGTAACTGTTACCATTCAGGACCAGTGACGGTTGCTGAGTATGGATCTGGGATGCATGCCCTAACTCTGCTGCCTCATCTCGCTGGCTGCACTGAGACTCACACATGGGAAAGCTCCAGAGCAAGATCCGCCGTCGCTCAGACCTCTACAGGTGAGAAACACCCCAAAACATAACCCTAAATATACACTTGAGAAGTGGACGTACCTGCATATGTCATATGTTCAGCCAGCTCTACAGGCAATACGCATACTTTGTACATTTGAGAAATGCACCCAGCCCTACAGGGGAGAAGCAAGCCACCCTGTACCAGTATAAAGCAGTCAGCAAAGCATATGAGAAACATACTCTCCTGTCTAGCCAGTTGTACATCTGCCTTGTGCGTGACATTCTGTAGGTGGTGTGGCGGTGATGAATTTCCACATTGCAACATCTAATTGGAAAAAAGAACCATGCGTGTTAATTTTACGAGTTCAACCTGTAGCACTCGTCTTTTAGCTGTGAGGTGTAGGCATTTATTTTACATTTGAATTATAATGAGTTTGCTGAGTGCTATAAATCTTGATTTTATAGTTATTACTGAGCACAAAATGCCTGAAAATTTATGTTTTTGATATATGGTAGGACCTTATAGATTGAAGCCTGCTGTATAAGGTTGCCCCACCCAGCGGAGTGTTATATTTCCAGCATGCTCACATTCACTGCAGAGCCACAAGAGGGGAGGTGCCGGAAAGCGGACCCATCACTGCGATTGCTCAGTATGACCCAGCCCACTGCGACACCATCAATTGCATCACCACTCTGGACTGTGACCTCAGCGTATCCGGAGGAAGTGACCATGTGAGCACATCCCAAGCGCAAGTGACACAGTGACCCTGTTGTAAGGGGGGACTGCATATGTGCAGTGCTCACAGAAAGTCTTATGAGTCTTGCTTAATTCTGGGAAATATTGCAAATGTATTAGTTTCATAACAAAAATCATTACTTTATTCATCTACAAAAATATATATCACATTAGAATCATCCAGTAGTTTTAAATAACACATTCATTTCAAGTAGTGATAAATTAAAATCCAAATTATAGCTCTGAAAGAGCAGTCTTATTGAGTGCTTTTTAATTAGTAATAACTTTGCAATAATATAAACTGCCAAACGTTTGTGTTTAGTTTCCCTTTGCGGAACCACAACTGCAGTTAATAGCAAAATAGCAAGAACAGAACTGAAAGAGTCAGTGAAAAAATGATGACGGTTAATAAAAAGAAAATGTCTGTGTGGAAGTTATGTGCAGATATGTTAAACATTGCTTGTCAATGGACTTTTGTCTTGAAACCAATAAGTTTGCAACATTTCTGCGGAATTAAGCAAGTGTCCCTAGAATTCATGTGAGCACTGTAATTCTATGCATGAGGCTATGATCACAGGTACCGGTATCCAACAATAACTATGAGAATCCTGCTCTGTGTCGACTTTTATGGTTGGATACCTGGCTGTTCCTCACTGCACGGCTAATTTGAACTTAGCAGACAGGTCTCAGATGAATTGTTGTAGATGTTTTGACTTCGCGTCAGCTGATGTAATGTTGGTTGTTTGTCTCCTGTCGCACACAGGCAGTTGTAGTGTATGATTGGAGAGCAGGCAGGCTGTGCCAAGCCTTCCACGGCCACAGCAGGGAAGTCACAAAGGTAAATCCACCCTTTCACACATCTTTTTTGACAGCATAGATTCCCTGCAATGCGAACATTACGTTTCACGACGACTTTCCTAATGCTTTGATCTGGAGTGCAAGCAAATGGAGTTTTCGGCACAACATCATTGAAAGTGTCCCCATCTTAAGTTTCTCAACAGTCATACTCATGCCGTACACCACATACACTCACAATCACTAACACATGCATCCAACACTCCACCTCTCACACAGGTGTGTGGGGGAGGAGAGTGGGCGGGTCTTCCTACACCCCTGCTCCCTGCCCGCGATAGTGGGGGGGCACTCGGGTAGTCGTCCGGCTGGCGGCGCCCTTGGGTTGCGGCTGGCGCTGGGGGGTGGCGTCCGTTCCCCCGCATGGCGGAGGGCGGTCCGGAGTGGATGGGCTTATGTCTTTTTGTCTCTGTGTATGTGTCTGTTGTGTGAGTGGGTGTATGGTCTATGTGTATGGCTGAGAGGTGTGTCTGCGAGGTGTCTGTGTGGGCGGTGTGGGCCTGGGTCCGGGGCTAGCTGCTCCTTCCTGGGCGCGGCTGCCTCCTTGGCATGGTTGCTGTCCCTCCTCCCCGGGTGGTGGCCTGGGGGGGGCTTGGGCCTCTCCGGCGCGGGTGGGGCTCTCTGGGGTCCTGGGGCCCTGGCCCGTGCGGGAGCGGCCGTCACCTTCGCGGGGTCGGCTGCCTGTTGCCTATGGTTCTCTGGGGCTCGTGCCCTTTTGGCTGCGGGGGCTGCGCCTGGGTCCTCCCTCCTCCTCCTGCTGGGGTGGGGACCCGGCTGTCGTGGGGACGTGGGGCCTTGGCTCTTCCGTGCTCTTGGGGGGCTGTGGACGCCTTGGGTCTCCTGGGCCTGTCTCCGCCGGCCTCTGGTTCTTGTGGGGTGTGGTTGTGGCCCCCCACCCTCGCTATCAAGTGCATTCCATGGAGAAATTCACACGCACCCAACACACGCATACGTGTTCAAACACCTCCCCCAAACAGATGTGCTTTTTACGTTACTCCTGTCTTTCTTAGCCTCTCTGTCCCACTGTTGTCTCCCCCTTTGTTCGTTTTTTTCTCTCTCTCTCTCTCTCTCTCTCTCTCTCTCTTTCCTTCCTTCTCTTTAATCTCTCTCCCTACCCCTTTTCTTCACTAATTTTCCTAATATATCACTCCCTTCCGGGCAGCACGGCAACTGGAATATTTTACATGTATTAAATAAAATACAATAAATATACGAATAAAAAGAAATTGACCAACATGAAGGGCCTATACAGAGTTTATAGAGCCCCTCATGGTAAAGCAAATATGTCTGACACAGCAGTGCATTCAGACCATTATTCTGCTTGCGAAAGCTGCCGGACAGGACACATTTAAAAAAAAAAAAAAAGTGTCCCCGTTAATAACACTTTGCATCAACCAGTCCGGGGGATCCTGCCCCTGTGTCCTGTCTCACAGGTAAGGTGTGTTCCTGGCAGCAGCCGGATCTTCAGCGCTTCCCGAGACAAGAGTGCGCTCATGTGGGACTTGACTTGTGGAGATGACCCTGTTCAGGAGTTCTGTGGACATGAACTGGTGGTCAACGGGCTGGCCGTCAGTCCAGGTGACCACCTGATGTGTCCTGTCTGCACTTGCTGCAGCTTACCATGTCTTAGAATATTATCTCTTGGTTTAATATCTGACTCACACCATTGAACGGAGATGAATTCTGATCCGACCTATGAGTAGGGCTGCACTATATCATGTTGTGATATAATTGTGATATGTGTGCATGTGCACTGATCACCAGGGCTTTAGATAATGGGCATAAATTTTGTCCAGACACCAATTTTGGTACTGTATGAGAGGTAAGCAGGTTAGGAATACACCTACAATATAGATGTAAGGCATATTTAGTAATCTGTTGAAGTTACTAATATGTATGAATTCAGCATGTCATTTATGAAATTACTGCTGTTTCGGTAAATCTTGGAAGGGATAAACACTGAAATGGTGAACAACATGTTTTGAAAGAGGAGATATTGTGGATAAACAAGGTAAAAAGATGTTGGTGATGTGCAGGTATTTTTTGCAGGTACTTTTGGGCATCAAAATATACCTCTCATTCAAGGGCGTAACTTTGGCTGGAACATTGTGGGGGTTGAGGTCTCCACCCATTACGGGGGACACATGATTATTGGGGGGATTGTATTAGCTGGTTTTGATTTATTGGGGGGGGGGGGCTACAACCCCCCCATCTCCCTTGTAATTTATGCCCATGCTCTCATTAAAATTTTAGACATACTACTAATCTGCTTATCAAATGTGGGCCTACATATACGCCTGGTCGGTACCGAAAGCCACCATCTGGACAAATTATGTCTGTCATCTAAAGCCCAGTAATCACATTGCATTTGCCGGCGCTAATTTGTGTCTGTTGACGCAACATGTGGCGATACCTCCATCATATTCGACACACACTATTGGTAGATAGCAAATTCTGCTTCACTGTAGTTTATTTCAGATGACAAAAGTACAATATTAAGCGCAAGAATTTCAAATAATCACTTTGTGATATCGTGCAGCCCTGCCTACAAGAGTACGGTCCTTTGAGTGATTAGCAGTGTAATTATGTATCTCAGGCCTGTGAAAAAGGATTATATATAATCTGTATAAACTTAGTCAAAAGGTTCTCATATCAGGAAAAATATTTTTCATCCCACCATCCATCTTATTGCTTATCATTGTTAGAGCCATAGGGCCAAAGAAATGACGTGTTATTCCCACCTAGAAATGTTTTATCTGTAATGGGTAAATAGATTAGCCAGACATTGTGTGGATATTATGCTAAGTGAGTGAATGCACTGGGCTCTACTGAAGATGGATCCCAGTTGTGCACAGGCTCCCGGGACAATTCCATGTGCTTGTGGGACATCGAGTCGGGGGAGTGTCTGCAGAGGAAAACCATCTCGCGTAATCTGGTGAGGGACTGCATGGGCGGCGTGTGGTGGAACCCTCTGCTTGGCATAGGCTATAGAGTAGGCAATAGAGATTGTGACCAAAACTGACAATTACTATGTAGTGTAGAATGGAGGTCAGAGGCTCCATAGAAGGAACAGCTGAAGTTCTGCATTTTGAAGGTGGACACTTCCAGAGATGGTGAATGAGAGATAAATGGAAACAGTAGCTGATTCTGCTTGGCAGCTGTATTAATGGGGGTTTCCACATTCTCTGCTCTAAAATGCTCTTGTGATGCTCTCCCTTCTGCAGGTTACTCACGTCTGCTGGGTGCCAGGGACCCACTCGATTGTCCAGACCTCAGAAGACAAAGCCATCCGGTGAGACAGAGCATGTGCAATTTGAATTTATTTCACTGGGATTTTAGGGCGCTGTCACATATTGACCTTTTTAAAAGAACCAAACTCGGCCCCCTTAAAGTGTACCATAAAGCGGTCATTACAGAAAATGGACTCCCATGGTGAGTTCATTTGAAAGAGGACTTGGTCTCTTTGGGCCACTTCAGCTCTGACGGAGTCTCAGTCGTCTTTCTGTTCACGCTATAGTCTTGCTGTCCTTAGCAGTGGCCATGGTTCCGTCTATTTGTTTTATTGAGCTTCCCCATGCAGTAGCATGTGATATGTCTACTCCAGGCCTGGAGGGCTAAAATACAAAGGCCAAGCCAACTTGGAGCTCTTTTGTACACAAAGCACAGGTTAAGTGAACGGCAATATACTGTAGGCTTGACATGAACCGAGCTGAGACCACCTCTCTCTGGGCTGAACTCAAACTGAACTGAAAAATTATAAAGTCAAATGAAAAGTACAACTATCATGAAATTCCACCTCGGACCACCTTGTGAAGTAACGAGTGAAATGTCTTGCTGAAGGTATAACACTCTTATCCTTGCTGTCCATATGGTGCCTAAAAATAGTCACTTGTCCGTGGGCCCTTGAGCAAGGCCCTTAACCCCCAGCTTCCTGGGGGCCACAAGATGGCTGTCCCCAAGCTTACTCCCACCTATATGAAGAACAAGATGGGGCAAAGTAGAGAATTTCACCTTGTTGATCACTATTCTATTCTTTTCCTGTTCAAGAACCATCAATGTTGGAAATGGGTATTGATGAGTGTGTAGGACTTGGACTGTTTCCATTCAGAAACATGTCCATTTATTGAAATATCCATGATGCATTGTCAGATTAAGTAGTTCTCCACTGGTTGGGCATCTATTACCTTTCATGTATAGGTGTTGTACGTATCTGTACTTCCATCACTAAACACAAGAGGGTGCTGCCAGGTGTTTGATGCTCTGCCAGGTGTTTGATGCTCTGCCAGGTGTTTGATGCTCTGCCACCTCTCCACTGTAGCACTGCCTTTATAGCTCTGTAGTACATACTCCCATTCCACTGAGCAGCAATGATAGATATCACCTTTATTGACAGTGTTCATCATCATCATCCATAGACTTTACTCATATATCTGCTGAACATGTACATGATGTTTATGCCCCGTTTGATACCTATGTATGCAGGAGAACTGGTGCAAAGTGATCTTCGTGTTTCATAGGCCAGTTGCTAATCATGGGACAACCAGAGATGGTTTTATTAAAATTTCTATAAATGCTTAAAATAATTTGGAGATGTGCTGGATGCTGATGGAAAGAGGTGGACATTAAAGGTAGTTACAGAAACGAGTAATACTTAGCATTAGCTGCAGTTACTGTAGTATTTAAGGACTTGGACATGTAGCTGAAGTTGCTGCCGCCCCCCTGCAGGGTTTGGGACAGTCGCAGCTGGCAGGTCGCCAACACCTTCCCCGCTAAGCAGTACATTCAGACGCACTGCGACGTCAGCTCCAGCTCGCACTACCTCCTGTCCAGCAGTAATGGATTCGGAGGCCACGGCTGCGAGGCCACAGTAAGCGCCCCCCATCGCCTTCTCCCCAGCCCCAGCCCTGCCTCCCAACATGCCTTACTCATCCTCAGCCCCACGCTGGCCGCCAAGCTGGCTGAGATGGAAGTGGAGCGAGTGGCTTGCCGCAGTCACGCTGTCTGACACGCTGTCTGTGTGTAGCTGTGGGACCTCAGGCAGCCGGGCTGTAAGGTGGTGGAGTACAGAGGTCACCTGCAGACCACGGCCTGCTGCGTCTTCCTGCCTGCGACTCCCGGGGCGCCGCACATGGTGGCCACATCCTCGCATGACTGCTCTGTCAAGATCTGGGACCAGAATACTGCAGGTGAAACTGCTGTGTGATTCCCTTATTAATATCTGAAGGCAGATACCTACGACTGAATGCTAAGCAAAGCTAAACATATTCCATACTAATATCGTTCACTATTAGATGAATTAATATGAGCAAGCAAGGAACAAATGATGAAATCTCTTGCATCATACTTTAATCATGCGATTTTCTTGCTAATATGGGAATTTCACAACATTGGCCATTACATCCCTCTAGGCTCCTCACTTTCATACGCAAGGATGATCCAATGAGCAGATTAATAAGAAAGTGGGTTGGGTGAGCGCCGAATGAACGCCGACCGTTTTTTCTGCTCATTGGAGCAAATCAAAGCGACCACACAGGCGTTCAGCACTGGCATTCGGCCGGCTACGCGTTTAGGTGGCTTCAAATACAGACGCAAAAGACGCAAATTATGCACGTTTGAAAGTAATTTTTAAATGTAAAACTAGAACTTTACAATGTGATTTCGTCATCTTGTTTAAATCTCGAAATATACATTAGAGACCTTAAGAGTAATTACTGCCCCCACAGGTGAATACACGAGACTACAGATTGGGCGTCAGGCTGGTGTTAAACAGCGTCAAGCGAACGCCAGTGAAACGGCAATCGAACGCAGCTACAAAACGCAGGAAAAACACGTATGGCGTTCAGAGAGCGTTCATTTCGAACGTCCGTGTGGACGAGGCCAAAAGAGCACAGATGACCCTCTTAAGCATGGTTTTCATACAGCATGTAGTGTCTTATGTAAATGTGTGGCTTCTGACGTCCTGTACTGTGTCCCGCGCTCCCTCTCTGCAGCCTGCCTATGCAGCCTCACCCTGGATGGCTCAGGGCCCCTGGTCTCCCTCGCCCCCTGTGAAGTGGGGAGCCTGCTCTGTGCCAGCTTCAACACTGGGATACACCTCCTGCACCTGAGCCTCAGCGCCGGGCCCGAGCTCAGGGAGGCAGCCCGCTTCTGACCCCCCCTCTTATTTATCACCACTGAGACCAGGGGCAAGGGTGTGATGCCAGCACCAGCCTCAAGGTCAAGCCTCAGCCCCCTATCCAGGGAGCAGAAAGTACTCAGGATCCCATAGGTGATGGCCGTTGACACAGGAAGCACCGGAAATGTACGTGTCTGTTGGCAGACTATTGATAGTTTTGCGTGTGGGTGTGTATGACAGAAAGTGCTTACAGGTGTTTTTGGGAGTTGTTCTATTCAGCCACAGAGCCAGTCAGATTCCAGAGCAATTGCTTATGTACTGAGGAACTTAGGTGAGACATAAATTATTAAACCAGACACTGGGGAATCGATTATAGTAGTAGCAGAAATGCTAATATGTAATAATGCAGCAGCACTCTGGGGCGTCTCCATCAATTGACAGAAGAAAGTAGCTCAGCTCTAGTCTATTCGGTTATTGTCTCAGCCAAAGAAAAACCTGAGCTGCTTTTTAAAGCACCAAGACCTTTGTTATTTATATAGCGCAAGAATCCTGTGGTTTAGTCTCACACTGTTTGCTCTGTTGGAGCAGCTCCGTTGTTTCACGATGGTCCAACAGCAGGGTTCGATCTGCCCTCATTGCTGTGCCGATATGCTGCCCTTAATCTCACATCTGTGTTCACGCTCCAAAATGAGTCAGCAGGACATGAGCAGCACTGCCAGTCAAGGCCAATTTCACACTCCTGTTCAGTTTTTGTGATGAATTACCACAGTTGTACTACCCTTATGAAGCATAATTGTTTTGTTTTTTTTTATCAGGTGATCTGTTTGTAGCAATGTCTGTCATGGTACGAATTGTGTGGTGTAAATTTATGTTTTGGTGCATATTGTGTAAAGTGTCAGAATATTTTTGCAGCTTTTCTGCTAATAGGATGTCCTAGTGACATGTACTGGTTAAATAAATGAATTTTTACCAGTGGGAACCCCGTGCAGTGTCATCAGCAACAGCCAGACCACTTCGCCTCTTCCAGGAACTGGGCTCCTGTGAAGCAGGTTACTGTCTGACCAGCAGATAAAATCGCAGCTCTGCGCAGGTGGCAGGTTCTGTTGCACTCTGCATCAGCTGTGGGGGACAGCGCTCTCGTCAGCTGGACCATTGCCCCTGAGATACTTTATCACCCCCAAACGTTCCCCTAACATTTTAATCTAGCTCAGAAGTCACTTATCTCTTCAGCCAATGGTTCCCTGACAATAAGATATGTGGAGAACAGGCCTGAAGCTGCCCATCTCCAGTGGCTCTGTTTAGCTGTGTGGGAGTAATATGTCAGAAGTTACAGCCATAGCAGATGACAGAGACACAGAATTCCTGCTGGCACACAAACAGAGAAGCCCAGTACAGTACAGTATGTGGTCAACATGTAGGAAAGATGGAACAGGACTAAGCATGAATCTAACTGATGTTCATGGGCTTGAGTAAAAAAAAAAACAACTGATTTGTGGCTTTTTTAGTTTCCTGTTCCTACTTTGAATGCGGAGCTGGATATCTGGAATGAAACTGCAGGAAAAAGATGTGGGGCATCGTAGGCCTTTTCTGCCATGTGGCTCAGAGTACTAACGCCTACTCACCACATTTGCATGCAAGTGTGCCACAGCTCAGCACTGCATCCTCAGAACATGTCCGCACTCAGCCTGGCAGCTGCAAAGGGCTGGAAAGCAGGAGAGAAGGACCTCCGTACTCACTCCGAGATGCCTTTCCCAGTGTCAGTCAGACCAGAAGTCTACTCCAAATATAAGTATTTCCAAACTCTGTGAGCAGCACTAGGGGAAGCTTAACCAGATTGATGGCCTGCCTTTCATTTGACTATGATGTTTATGTTTCCTTATATTATGCCAGTATTCAAATGTAGGCTCGGTTAGACCAGCAGACAAAGGAAAGAAGGAGGTCCACAGAAACACTATGACTATATCAGCAAAGGTTCACACTCACAAAAGCCTATGATGAGACTACTTTCTGCTGACTACCTGATTGGAATTGAAGAACTGACCAGGAATCTGCAGATGATTAACAGGCAAGTAGGTATTAGCCAAGGAGGTTTATTGGCTCTAACTTGTCTAAAAGTCTAGCTTTACTTTTTTTGAGCTTAAGACCATAGTCTTTGGTAGGAATGCTAAGGAAACCTGACTGCTAATTGACGCCTCTCATAGATCATTTCCTGATGGTGTTTGATGGCTCATGATGTTAGCAGTCCTAAGACCAGAGTCTGTGTTGCATGTATTAACAGGTACATTCTCATCCACTCTCATGGTATTCAAGTATCTTGCATGTCCTTTTGAAGTTTCTGCAATTATAGCTGTCATTGACACCACATGGGTTTCCTGAGGTGCTTTTACACCCCCAGAATGTATTCCTGGAACCGGAACCTTTTTCTGGAACCAAAGACCTTATGTTGTGTTCACACCGCAGGAACCCAGCCCGATTGTAGCTCCTCAGAGGCCGTTCCTGAACCCTTTTTCAGTCCCTGGCCCAGACTCAGTACTTTCTGTTCAAACATGAACTACTGGAGAGGTGCTTACAGTGATGGCTTGCTGACTGGTTGACCACATGCACTGGTGCTAACTTGAAAGTTATGTGGAAGTGCAGAAAAACAGATGTAGCGGAGCGGAAATTGAGCAGATGGAATTATTTTTGTACTCCGAATATATTAAATGTATTAATTAATAAATTTTTGTTTGCGTCTCCATATTTCTGCATGGGAAAATTAGATCATTAATCAATATACTTATGTCTAATATCACCAGTGCTGGTGGTAATACGGTATTAGTAGGAGACTGAGGTAATACGGTATTAGTAGGATAGTGTTACATTGTTTTTTATTCTGTAGAAAAGGAAAGATCGATCTGCTGGCCTGATTTAATAAGAATCATGAAAATGTCATGAGTCATATAAGTAAAATATAAAAAAAAGGGTGTGTCCCGTTTTGGTCGTGATCGATCCATCAATAACTAACAAATAACTAACAAAACGACTTATTCTTCCTCCATTGTTTTGGCATGGAGGTGTAGTTTCATGTGAAATTGTGTGTGAAGCATCTCCCATGCAAATTTAGTAACAAAAGTCCCAGTTCCTGTTGTGTGGTGTGAAAGTAGCCAGGAGCTACAAAAGTCCCGGTCAAGACGGCCCAGGGACTTGTAAACTGGGACCAGGTTCCAGAACTTAGGTTTGGAGTGTGTGAACCTACATACTGAAAATGGAAGCCACACATCAATGGTATTTGGGAAAAGCAGCAACAGGACCACCGTTTACGGTTTGACTGTGAATGGATCTCTAGATCTATAGCTGCTACTATGTATATGTCGTTATTTCACTCATATGGATTTTTATACCTGTAGTCTGGTAACTGTACCATCATGATACATTTTTGCCTTATCTGTAAAATGCAAATAGGGCAAGCTCCTTACAGAACATCACTTCCTTCTGATATTTATATAAAAGATACAAGTCATATGATGTCATAATTATGTGGAAAGCCAGTGTGTCTATAAGTCCATTGTCTACAGGCTGTAATATAGCGGATGTATGAAATAACGGATGTTGGGGGGGGGATGTTTGCTTGGGGTCAGAGTTGTTGACCAGCATTCAGCAGCCCGGTGTGCCTGTTTGGAACATAAGCATGTGTGGTTTGTTATTTTCTAGTCTACGTGATATATTAAAATTAAGGGGTGTAACTGTAAAATTCATACTAATCCTATGACCATTACAAAAAGGATACCAGGGTCAGCTGATGATCTGGGATCAGATCATTCATAAAACTGAATGGAATTGTACAATATGGTGAAAACTGTAATCTTTCACAGCATGGAGAGCTGCTGCTCCCTTTAAGGCCCTTTAATGGATGTGCAGTGCGCAGACACACCTCTTTCAGTGTTTGTGCCGTCAGCCACGCGCTTCACTCCGCTCTGTGACCTGGAGGTGCCGTCACGCTTCAATTCACTCGATTCCAGTTTATCACAGATTTTGCTGTGGGGCAACAGAAAGGGGAAGAATGCAGCCATCTCCTGACCACTTTTAGTGTGATGGTGGTGTCCGCTGTCAACTGATAAGAACATAAGAACTATACAAACGAGAGGAGGCCATTCGGCCCATCAAGCTCGCTTGTGGAGAACTTCACTAATAGCTCAGAGTTGTTAAAATCTTATCTAACTCTGATTTAAAGGAACCCAAGGATTCAGCTTGCACTATATTATCAGGAAGACTATTCCATACTCTGACTACACGCTGTGTAAAGAAGTGCTTCCTTAAATCCAGTTTGAAATGTTCTCCCGCTAATTTCCACCTATGGCCACGAGTTCTTGTATTTGAACTAATGCTGAAGTAACTATTCGGTTGAACAGCATCCAAACCTGTTAGAATCTTATAGACCTGGATCATGTCCCCCCTCAGTCTCCTTTGCTTGAGGCTGAACAGATTTAGCTCAACTAACCTTTCCTCGTATGACATTCCTCTAAGACCATGAATCATTCTTGTGGCCCTACGCTGCACCTTTTCTAAGGCCGCAATGTCCTTTTTAAGATATGGTGACCAAACCTGCACACAATATTCTAGGTGAGGTCTCACCAAGGAATTGTATAATCTTAGCATTACCTCCCTTGACTTAAACTCCACACACCTGGAGATATACCCCAACATCCTATTGGCCTTTTTTATTGCTTCCCCACACTGGCGAGAACGAGACATGGAAGCATCAACATACACACCAAGGTCTTTCTCTTAATCAGCTACCTTTATTTCAGTAGGTCCCGTAAAATACCTGTACTTTATATTTCTGCTCCCTACATGGAGTACCTTACATTTGTCTATGTTAAATTTCATCTGCCAGGTGTCGGCCCAGTCACTAATTAAATTAAGATCCCGCTGTAGCTGCTGAGCCGCTAGTTCAGTATCTGCTACACCACCCACCTTGGTGTCATCTGCAAATTTCACCAGTTTACTGTATATATTGATGTCTATATCATTTATGTAAATTAGGAACAATAGTGGTCCTAAAATTGAACCCTGCGGTACCCCACTATGAACGCTGGCCCACTGTGACATTGTGCTTCTTATAACTACTCGCTGCTTCCTATCTGTTAACCAGTTATCAATCCAGGTCGCTACAGTTCCTAAAATACCTGTCGCTTTGAGTTTAAGTAAGAGCCTCTTGTGGGGGACAACATCAAAAGCCTTTTGGAAATCTAAGTAGATGACATCATAGGCCTTCTTATCATCAACTTCCTGAGTAGCTTCCTCAAAAAACTCCAACAGATGTAACAGATGAGCTCCAACAGATGTAAGCCTGCAGGATGTAGCCCAGCTCTCCTCATGGCAGGGCCTGTTCTGTCCACTGCAGAGGGTCTCACCGCTGTCGTTCTCAATAATCCTGTCTGTTCCCATGCCCAGTGTCGCCCCGCCCTAGTTTTTTATTGCTGAAAATCACTAAAACAAATCCTCTGGGGATCATTAAAAGTCTAACAGTTTGACCACAACTACAATCAATGGGAATGTGATTAAAAATCATAATGGATTAAATTAGTCACGGTCAGTTTTTCATAAGAAAATGATTTCAATTAGCATTTAATGTTCCATTATGCTCTTAAAAATAGTTTCCATAAGGATAAAACATCTGGTCAGGCTATGCACTGGAAGCCAAGGAAAATAATGCTGATAAAAATGACTGGTTGTTTCAAAAGTCACACAGGTTTTTCTATTAACATACTAATAAAATATTAAACGCATCAATATTGAACTATTATTAGGCTGGCAGAATTACCTGTGCAGTTACACGAAAGTCATCAACACCCATGTGACATTTCTGTATCAATTACAAAATGTGTTATGAGTGTAATGTAATTCAAATTTTCAAAGAATATAGAGCTGTATGTTTTTCTGCACAGGTAAGGCAAATTGCATACTTAATACTTAATACATTAAAACTGAAAAAATTAAGAGACCACTATATTTTTAAATAAATTTGCATTTATAAATCCCAGTTTAATTCTGGTTCTGCTGGCAGAAGGCTATGCTGAGTATCAGGATGCTTCAAAGTTCAACATTTCTAAGAGGAATACACAAGAATAGGGTGAAGCATGAGACACTAGGAACAACCAGAAGCCAGATGGGTAAAGGGCAGAAGCGACTTTCTAATGCCAGAGATGACTGTTAGCTTATCCGACAGGTTCTCATGAATCATAGGATGGCATCAAGTGACCTTTAAAAGGAATGGGAGACATTAAGTGCAGGTGTGAAGTGCACTGCTAGGACAGTTCATATCAGGCTCCTAGAAGCAGGACTGAAGTCCCATAAAGCAAAGAAGAAGCCCTTCATTAATGAGACTGAGAAGAACCAGGCTGCAGTTTGCAAAATAATAAAAAAGACATTATTCACAGATGCACACCCATAAATTTAAAAATGAGAGAGAAAAAATTGTGCTGTGGTCTCTTAATGTTTTCCGCGGCTGTGTATACAGAGAGCTGTTAGACCAGGGCTGCTCATTGCTGCTCATTGCTGCTCCTGCAGCTCCAGCACCCTGCAGAGCTTAGCTGCAGCATTAATTAACACACCTGACACGGATAATCAGGCCCTTCAGTGGCATCTTGGTATTAGAGCCAGTTATGCTGAAGCTAAGTAGATGTGCAGAAGCAGGGTTAGCCGTCCCTGCACTACAGACTGGTTCTGTAAACAGTGATGTCTAACAGCCTCCATTCCATCCTTGTGATTTGCCAGTTATTTTGTCCTGTATCCACCAGATCATGCATTACAGGCAATAGCAGGCTGTTAGTTTTTCTGAAGAAAGTGTAGATTATTAGAGAGTTGGATGTAACACATTTGATGAAATGAACACCTTAATACCTCCACTACTTGCCGTCCCACAGGTCAGTGTGGCAGTATGCTGTCTCTGTCCCGTCATGGTGCCTGCAGTCCACCTAGCTGTTAAGGCTATTGCCGAACGTTGAATGTAACCATGGAGTCGAAAGACGACCCGGAGTCCATGACAGTGCCACCTGAAGGCATCCCTGACCTGGAATGTGCCATCTGCTACAGCCAGTTCAACAATGTCTTCCGCACACCCAAGAAGCTGCAGTGCAAGCACACCTTCTGCCTGGAGTGCCTGGCCCGCATGAACGTCAAGTCGTCTCAGCCCGACACCATCCAGTGCCCGTTTTGTCGGGCTCTTACCCCATTACCCACCCTGGGACTCCCCAAGTTGGACAATGACACGTCCATCATGTCCAACCTCCCGGAGGCCATGCAGCACGTGTACAGCATCCGCTTCATCCGCAGCAAAGCCCGGCTGCAGGTGAAGCACCCCCAGCGGGTGGTGCCGCTGCCCCAGCTTCGCACCGTCAGCAGCTCCCTGGATGTGGGTCCCCCGAGCACCACCAGCCAGACTGGCAGCCATGAGACTGGCACCCGTCACAGGCTGCCCTGCATGCCGCCTTGCAAAATGTTCATCATGGTAGTCGTGGTTCTCCTCATTGTCTCATTCATCTGCATTATCATCATCATGACGAAAACCTCCTAGGGAGCTGCAACACAAAAGCATCACATTGGCAATTTCATGCATTTGAAGCCTAATAAATGGCCTCATTTGTAATGTGGTACAAGCTTACAGAGGTCAGCCTTAGTTAGACTCATCATTTTTTCTTGACTGAGACTCAACCCACTGACTGTGACTTTAAGTTAAGGTTGTGACACAAAGCTCCTCCAAGATTACAGGTGCATCTCTTGTGCCGGAAACACAATCCTGCCACATTTTGGTCCTTAAACCAAACCCTCTGCTAAAGAGGCGTCTCTGCTTCAGATCATGGAGGAGAACAAATAGTACCAACATCCGTACAGTTCCAGTGGCAATGAAAAGACTCAAGAAGGACAACAAAGTAAATTTTACGAAGTAGTGTCATCTCACTTTTGACTAACTGAATCTAAAGTTTCTGACTGCTATCTGAGCTTTGTTTCATCACTTGTGACAGCACTTTTGAGAAATGTAAATATGCTGTGCAAATTAAAATCAAGTTTAGTGCTCTGTTCTGAGTTCCTATACACCTTCCATAGGCCCAACGTTCATTCCAAATGAAATGCTTAGTTTGGATAGACAGATGACATTTGGCTGTGTTGTCCTGCTACCCTGGTCTTCCTGGATCTGCTGCCACATTCACTGCAACCCTGTACTAGGTAAGCAGGTGGATGGATCTACTGACACTTCAATGTGGAATTTCACTAACAGAAATCCCCTGTAGAATCGTGATCATTAAAATACCCACATAAAGAGTTTAGAGTGGCCTTCAGCCTGTCCCATGGAAATGTTAGTATTTAGCAATCACAGTTACCTCTAAATATTTACCAGAAACTTGACCCTTTTTTGGGTGTAGTTTGTGAACCTCTGAACTTAAGCTTATGTTTAATACTTCAAATCCTGTCAGTAACAAAATGCAGAAACATATTGGTTAAATGACTGTGAATGCTAAACATTTTCTTCATTTATGACGCCTTGTATTTCATTGACACCAAATGCTCATGTCCAAATTATGTAACAGAGAACCATTTATCATTATTAACATACTTTTACAATGGAATATGCAATCCTTGCACAACATCCATGTTCAATGGACTATTGACTCACTCTTGAGGTGTGTGAGGTGTGGCTCAGTGGGTTAGGAGGTGTGGTTACCTCTGGGTAAAAAATCATCAGTTTGAATCCCACAGTTGGTAGAGTGATTTCCCCTTGCGTAAGACTCATATGTACTTCAGAGACTGGCCGACCCTTCCTACTCTGCTGAACCTCACATTAATTGTAGCATCTGCTAAATAAATTAATGTATGGGCCATAACATTGGACAGGGTGCCCTTGTGGGACACAGCCTGTGCAAACACAGAGTCCACATTTTAAAATACAGTAAACAGACATCAGCCTCGCTGCTCATCCCTCTGTTCCTGCAGGTAGATATCAGTCGTCTTCTTGACCTTCACTAATATGCCTATCCTAGGCTTTGTGTGGTTTGAAATGAACAGCTATTTTCACAAAGACTTTAATGGGCTAAATTGTTTTATTTGTTTAATATGTGTGTTTAATAAGTTTATTTTTTATTATGTAGCAACAGTTTTGTGTTTTTCTCTGGTTCCACTCTAATCTTTCATAATGACTCACAAACTCTCCACAGTTACAGCGATAAAACTTTGTATTTACATCTTATCAGTATCACCGATATTTTGCTATTTTTAAATATTGTGTGATATTCACCTTCACCTTAGTCTGTTACCTTGACATGCATCATAAATATAAATGTTTTATTTTTAGGTAGATTTTGTATATTTGCTAATCTATAGAACAGTAAAAATGTTTAACTCAGACTTATTGTTTCCTTTAATAAATGACCTTCATGTTTAAATTATTTTGCTTTATCAGTACAGTACAGGCATGAAGGTGACCCTTTATGCCAGTAAGTAGCAGACGTCAGTATTTAGCTGCCTGATGTTCCTAACCCTTCCACTAGGTGTCAGCTAAGAGCTAAGTTTGGTGCTCAAGGTCACGGCATGTTGCAAAATCTCCAGATAGTGGCTAGAATGGAAAAGTACAGGAAGGGATCAGACATAAACCCACTGACTCCCCTCCCCCCAGAAAACAACTTAGGATAAATTGTTAGAAATATATACTTTTTCAAATTCTTTTATGAAATAGAGCAGCAACCATTTGAGACGGAGTAGACTGGACAGATCATTGCAAAACAGGAAATACAAATGCCACAGGGGAAGCGCTGCATTCCTGTCTGCTCTTCTGCTCTCTCTTTCTACAAGCTGCATTTCAAACACAGCGGTCAGCTCCCAGGTCTTGGCATATTAGACATTAGCTTTCAATTATTTGTATGTCCGCATTAAGTAAGTAGTCTTGAGAATTCCGTAAAAATGAATACATAGATAGATAGATAGATAGATAGAGCAATATTGAAATGAAGTATATGACCATATAAACTACGGGAAAAGAAAACTCTGAGAAAAAAATGATAATAATTATATAATCAATTCTTCTTGCAAAACATACTTGGATTACTGTGTAACGCAAGTAAACAAAATGAACAAATTTAACTGAGCTGCTGATATCCAAACTGTTTGAGAATAAACATCCAGGGCTGTAATGGAATCACTTAAACAGATAATCTGTTTAAATGACTAAAATGGTTTTAAAGGACACGCCTTTGACTTGTGGAGTTTGTGTATCTTATGGAGTTTGTGTATCCTGAGTGCAGTGACCTGCAGGACCATTAGGTACAGGGGCCAAAGCGTCACACCAGAGGACAGCATTTATGGAAGGAAACCATGAGCAAGTGAAAGGGACCGCCATTCACAAACACAGGGGCTGCATGACTCACACGACATCCTGCCCCCCTACTCCTGTTTGCGCTGTGCGTGTGGACAGCGTGGGGTGGGGTCATTGGCTGTGTCCGCCTCACGTTTGCAGTTAAACACGGAGCACCGTTTGTTTGTTTGGGTTGCTAAGGAGCAGCACGGAGTTCCCTAACTCTCACTGACATCACGGCCCCCACCTGTCTATGGAAGGGGACAAGGGGTGACTTAACTGACTTACAAACGCTCAGCGACAATCAGATAAACTTTCACGAACAGTCATCCTCCAGGGTGGGGCATTGTGACACACCATTGTTCACTCTCACTAACCTCTTCTTTCTCACCGGGTCGCATGGAGCCAAAAAGAGTGAGGCAGGACCACACCCACCCGTGTGTCAGTCTGCCTGCTCACGCATGCAGCTCACACATAGCACACCGTCGCCACAGAGGGGGAGATACATCATGGCCCTCCTTATATTTGGTTTTAAAATGTGTGTTGGGTGATCGTGACTATCATTAATTGAGCAATCATTAGTATAATTACTCATCAATTTAGTTTTTATATTATTTTTTATTTTAATTGGAAATCTAGTTTGTGATCCAATCACTCATATCACTTGCCGAGGTGATCTGGGATGCATTCGATCACATTTCTTTTTCAGTTTAAACGCTAATGCGTTCCGCCAAGGACACCATAATAACTGTGCGCAGGGCCATTTGACCTTGTAGTAACAAAATACACTGCCCGTCCAAGAAAATTTATATTTATATCAGCAAATACTTAAAAATCAATGGATTTTTTCTTCCCTGTTGGCATGGGCATATTCCAGAACAAGAATGCCAAGATTCAATGGGTTCAAATTGTCAAAGAGTGGTTCAGGGAGCATGAGGAATCATTTTCACTCGTGACTTGGTCACCACAGAGTTGTGACCTTAACCTCATTGAAGGTCTCTGGGATGTGATGAAGGAGGCTTTATGGAGTGGTTCAACTCACTTGTCAATACAGGATCTTGGTGAGAAATGAATGCAAATCTGGATGAAAATAAAGGATGAGATGTTGCATAAGCTTGTGGAAACAATGCCATGAGAAATATGCGCCATAATCAAAGCTAAATTCAAATGGCGACTTTGAACACTGATTAGGCCGCTATATCTGTGATTTGAAGGCATGGGTGTCGCCGCCATTAAATCTGAGGGGGACGTGTCCCCCTTCACATTTCATAATAATTTGTTTGGACCCCCCCACATTTAACATAAAATATCACTTTTATGCCAGTGTGCCCCCCCACATTCAAAATGCTTCTGATGCCCCTGTTTGAAGGTCAGCAGTTCAAATCCTGTGGTTAGCAGAGTATCTTATCGCCGGATAAGTGGCTGACCCTGTGCTCAGATTCCAAGCTTTGCTCTCACCTGTATACGTCTGTGTGTGTCTCATATGACACTGTAGTGGGATATGCCAGGACTGAAATCTCATTATACTGACTCTCTGTACAATGACAATAAAGTGTTCTATGTAGAAGTTTTCTAAGGATAACACGCCCACCATTCACATTACTTAATTTCCGTGTCACTCTTGACATTGAAATACTCAAGCAAACTCACAAAAAAAACAAATGAATGACTCATTTTGTTTGATACAGGTGCCCATTCTGGAAATGTTTACAGGGAATTGCACACTGCCATCAAAAAAGGCCCTGTTCTGGCAAACAGAAACAAACTTCCAATCCACTGTTCAACCACAACTTCCTGAAGATGCAAAGTGGTGTGTTTCATAAAAAGGGCGGTAAAGGAAGTGCAGTTTACAGCTGATTTCATTACTTACTGAGTCATAGTTTTCATTTTTACAAGCTATTTTTCATTCCTGTTTTTTAGGTGTATCAGAGAACTCAATCTTCACAACTGACATACACTTGTCTGGATTTCTGTTCAATAGATGATTATCTTATTACATGTGTGTATTTGAGTTCATTGTTTGTTTTTATTACATACACCTATTTCACCATAAGGTGGCGCCGTGGCTCAGTGGGCAGCACTGCCTCCTCACACCTCCACAGGTGGGGGTTTGACTCCTGCCCTTGCTGTTCTCCCTGGGTTGTGCTGGTATCCCCTAGGTAGTCTCATGTCTTTCTGCAGTCCAAGGGCTTGCTGTGTTTGTGTGTGTGTCCTGTGATGGACCCTGTCCA